GGGCCTCCATGTTTCTCAGTTGATTCTTCCCATCGCCTTCGATTTGGGATAAGGCAAGCAGCTGGCCACCGTGAAGCAGGTGGAGCGGATTTTTTCTTGAGGGTTCCGCTAGGATGTTTAGGTCAACCAACTGGGTTCCTTGCAGTGGGCCCGTATTGTGAGGGCTTCTGATTTTATTTCTTTTAGGGTTCTAAACAGTTCTTTAGGGAAAGCCTTATGCCGCTGCAATGTACCTATAGACCCACTATTTTGCAGTGAACACTTGTGTTTCCATGTCCATTGCGACCGGTTCCATGGTTTCCATGGTTTTCATGGTTTCTTCTGTGGTTTCTATGGTTTTGTGGCTTCCATTGTTTTCAGGTTTTCATCGTTTCCAGTGTTTCTATGGTGCTTGTAGGCTGGGTGCACTTAGCATCTGAAGTGACTTTTGCATTGCCAAGGGCTTTGCAAAAGGGGGCTTGCCGCTAAGAACCCTCTAAGAGGCAGCGCCTCTTCGCAGAAGGCGCCCTACCGACACCACCTTGCCTGCCTCCCTTGGTTTGGCCCCTAGCTAGATCAGATTGGACAGAGGACTGGTAGAGGATATTTTTACTCGCAGTCGGAGAAGAATTGGGCGGGGGCCAGAAGGTTTGACACTGATGGTTCGTTTGGTCTGATTTGGTCTTTGTGTTGAAAATGATTGCCCTTTGCATCCTAAATGATTGCTCGTTGGCAGCCAAATTGTTGCAGAATGATTGCGGCCTCGGCCAGCATGTTGGAACCTGATCGACCATTGTGGTGGATGTGTCGAGAAATGATCGCCCGTTGATCGAACAACTTAGAGTTTGATATGCCAGTGAGCCTTTGTGCTTGACTGCTGCCCTCCTTTTTTCCCTTATGTGCAAGCATTGGGGGGTGACCTTGCATTGTGGATGCTGAACTGAGCAAGCTGTTTTTTTTGTATTTTCTGGTTGAGACGGGAACATGGCAGTAGTGAGTTAGCAACGCCTTTGCACAAGCCTTGGATTGGTGCTCATGAACATCACAATGCATTGGCCACGTCAGGTCTTCAACGACATGAGCCACTCTCAGCCTCAGGCGCATGGTTGGGTCCTTGAAAGTTTGCCAACTCGAATTGGCTTCTCACAATCGATGACGTACTTCCAAGTGGTTTCTTGCCCAAACTGCGAGCAATACGCGCCATAACCTGAACACTTCTCATGGCCTGTGAGGCGAGCGGAGCGTACTGATACCAGGTGGTTGTTGTTGCGATCCACCAAAATGATGACAGCGTTGTGCAGCAAAGAGGGATCAACCGGTCAGTTGATCTGCTGCTTCTCTTCGTGGGCCAGACAATGGCGTCCACCTCCCCGGTTTCGGGACTTGACCTTTTCGTTCCCAATTCGATATGAAAGGCAGCGTGACACAGTTGCGGGAAAGAGGTTCGATGTGCGTTGCCCTATTGTTGCTTTGACTTGGGTGGGGGCAGCCAAAATGGGCGGGGTGGATTTTTTGGCAACCTGAACGTACCCTCAAAACACACAAGAGCAACTGCACGCTTTGGGTAGCGTTCACCCAGAAAGCACCGTTCCACACAATCGGGTGTTTCCAATAGATGTCCACCGGCAGCCGGCAGATGGTGAGGTCCAATGCATTGACTGCAGCATGGTTATAAAGGAATCAACCTCCTATAAAGTGGCAACCATAGTTCTAACCCTATTGCTAGTACCCGTTTCGGTTGGTTTACAAGGAAAACCAGAAAACCCGGGGTCCGAGTCCCTATGTTTGTACATACCTATGTAAGACCCTTCCCGCACATCGAGGGCCGCATGCTCCAGCTGGACCTTGAGCCTCGAGGCCGGCCCGGACTGCACACGGAACTGGGCCCCGGCGATGAACTGCCAAACTTGGGGTCTGCGATGTGCGATTTGGTGTTTTAAGGTAGTACCTTGGATGGGCCAAGTTCAGTAATGCGTGTTTGCCCTTCTGGGTTTCCGTGTTTTTGGTTGCCAAAAACCGATCCGCCTGCGCGCGTGCAGACAAGCGCGCACGAGCACAATGCTCCCTCGCACGCATGCAAGCGCATGGAAGAGAGCGCGCGCACGCACTATACATTCGCCCACATTTGAAACTTGTAACTGTTTCGCCAAACCGAATCCCGGATTATCAGAAGCTGTAGTCATGGAGCATTCCAGATAGTCAGCATGTTTCTTGATTTGCAGATGCTTTGATTGACGTTGGATCCTTTTGCACTTCTTCGCTTTGTTCATGTTTGGGCTTTGATTTGGGCATGTGTTCTTCTAAAATGGTCAGCCTGCTGTCAAGGATGGAAGTGCGACTTGACCGAACCACGCCCCAACCAGACCCCGAATCGGACAACGCTTAAGGCCACTTTCTGTGAAGGGGGTCCCCCGAAAGCGGTAAAGTGGTCCGGGAAGGAGCTCTTGGTATCATTTGGTATCATTTGGGCGATTTTCGACCATGTCTTTGGAGCAACCCAAGTTGTGGGCCCTGCCCAGGCGAGCGGCGCCGGCGGGCTCGTGAAGCATCCCGCAGCCGCAGCTGACGGAGGCCTGCACTCCGGCAAAAAAGTTGATGTGTCCTTGGGACGGACAATTTCATGCACCAGTTGGTAGGTGGCTTAGGCAATGTTCGCAGGTTTTGAATCCCGACTGGTGACAATTCAAAAGGAGCCAATATGCAAAGTTAGAACTGTGTTGGGATCAACATAAACATCAAAAGGTTTACCTACAGCGTCATTATGGTATTGAGCTTTTCACCCATTTGTTCGTTCCCTTTTTTTGTGGGCCATTTTGTGACAAGCAGGATGTTTGGACTCTGAATATGAAAGGTACAGATAGAATGATAGCTGATATCGGCGCTTGCAAACGCTGCGTTTTACTCTACCCGTTCACAAGCATCCAAAGGCGCCCTCTCCCCAAGAAGAGACTCCGAAAGTATACACCATTTTAAAGAATCATGTTGATTGCCTCAAGTGTCAGTGGGGCTGATTTTAAGGACCGAGATTACTTATGTGTGTTCTTCTTTCTAAACGTGAATTAATTTGCGATATGCGCGATAGGTAGCGAACTGCAATTCGCAGACGCTGCTAGTCACCGCATTTGATTAGATCACTCGCTTTAGTGTCTCAGCTGATTGGGGTATTCACCAAGTGACTGGGTTTATACTAAAATGATTTGATTGCTTTGTTCACAAAACGATTGGCTACTCAGGGGACTGCAGCAGCAGCACCCACGGCAAGCCTGTGCGGCACATGTTCCAAACGGCTGAAGCCGCCGCTTGGCCTGAGGCGAATTGCTGAAGGTGCACATGGCCGAGTGAGAGTTTTCAGCCAGTCTCAGCTGCATTTCAAAGCGCGCCGTGTGTGCCATGCTCTTTGCATAATTCAATATCACATGCGCTTGATGGCCTTTGTTGGGGATAGTCTTCACCCCTTGAAGTACTGCATGTGTTTTTTGGAATTGCCATGTTTGAGTGTTTATGCTCCAGACGATAACCATAACCTCAAAAAAACATTTTACCGTGGCACACATGCTGTGCTTCATTGTCCGTGGGGATTCCTTGCAAGACCCTTTCCATTCCCGCATGGATCGACTCTGCGGGATGCGACTTAATGGGTCCTGACACAGAGACTTGGCATGTTTGCGAGTGGGACGCAATATAATGTAGGGAGAAAGGGGCAACATGCTGACTGAACAAACGCCCGGTCGCGGAATCATGATCAATCTTGAGCCTCGCCCTACACAACGACTGTGCCAATTTTGCATGTACTTGTGCAAGAATTCAGGTTGGGAGCGTGTTGACGGGGAAGCATGTCTGCAGCGCAGATGGTGCTAAAAAGGCGTTCTCACCTCAGGTGATACGCTTGAATTCTGCGCGAGTGACTAGTAGACTTACTGTATCTCCCGACTCATCCCAGAGCACAATCACTTGTACTTGTTAAAATTATACTTGTCACTGAAAGCTTGATGAGACATGCTGTCGTGCCTATGATGGAGATAGGTGGTGGGACCGGGCACGCTACTCTTTAAACCACAACCTACCCTGACAGGAATTATCATGTCGCAAACAGCTGGGTTCCAGGTTCGTTTGGAGGTTGACAGAGCACTGTCCTTCTCCCTGGCCATTTAGCAATGGAGGAGTTCCAAGTGCATCTTAAACCAACCAGAAGGGAAGGGAACAGTTGCAAGCAGTATCTACTGTAGAAGATGATTTTGGGGGTCGGGACCGCCAGAAATCCACCAGTCGACCTACCGTCTCCCCACAATTCCCTGGCGTTGGGCCAAGCACGGCCCACGTTTGTCGCACCCATCGGTCCCCAGATGATCCGAGTCGCCGCTCTTGATTTTGCGTTCGAGGGCAGGCAAAACCTAGGCTCCGGACTCCCGACTCCCGAGGCCACGCATGGCATGGAGCTTGGGCACAGAGATGGAAACGCAGCTTCAATTGACTGACTCCAGATGGGCCGGAGGCGGTGAATGGCACAGAGCAAATCCTGGGCCACCCTTCCTTTCGGGAAATCTTGTAAGGGGTCTGAAGCACAACCAAATATATGCGTAGCGTACAGACTGTGATTCCATTTCGATTTCGCATCAGTATGCTCATCCGTGGGAATTGCCAGCTGGTTGGCAACCGCGGCTAAGCAGTTGCTATCCTCCCAAGTCACCAAAGCGCACCAACTGCCCTTGGTGTCGGTCAAAAAGGAAATTATTCTTGCCGGCTCCCTCCCTTGCCGATCCTTGTAATTCGAGCCTTGTTTGACGAATCAAATTACTGCCACACCAAACTGTGAAATAACCTCACGCACCAAGTGGGTATCCCTGTTTCAGGCCGGTGCACCCGAAATTTGTGAGCTGAGGTGTTCAAAGGAACCTGTATTCATTCCAGTCGTGTCTGTGAGTTTCTTTTTTGAATGGCATGGGTAAAAACTCGGCACCCTTTTTGAAACTTGTGACCCCCAGCATCCAACTGGAGCTGTTCAACGTTCAGATCTTTAGGCCATGCCATGGGCCAGCCATGGATGGCTGCTGATCGCAAGATGTGCGCCGTGACGAGATGGGTTGGGTGCAAGGCGAATGCAATTCTCCCACCCTCTGGTGTATCCCCTTTACTTAAACAAAGGGAATCGTGGCATCTACTCGCACCCTGGTGTCTTTTTTCCTGCAGAGGACACCTGCCTTGCTGGAAATACCTCTTTGCACGACATGTGCAATGGTGGGCATGCTTTCTTGGGATTACAATATATTACAATGATGGTCATGGACCCCTTGATAGATATCCATGACAATGGGTTCTCTTTAGAAGACAGTGACCACGGCTACAACTACTTCATGCATTACCAACGGAGATTGGCTCCTGAGCTGCCCCCAATGGATGAGCTTTCCAAGCCAATCTCACATCCTTCTCGCCTTTGTCCCACTCTGTCCATGGTGTTTTTTTCCCCCGAACCAAATGTATTTTTCTCGGGGGATGTCATATCCTTTGGCACAACTTGAAATGAATTGTGTCATGTGCAACCTAGCAGCACTTGGGCGTAGCTCGAAGCGCGCAGAATATGCTTTGCTGCGGCAAAGAGTGTGCTTGGGATGTGAGAAACAGTTCCAGCTCCTTGCATCAATACCCCTCGCAACCACCCATGTTTCGCAGATACGAGGCATCATTTGTCGAACCAGCTTCTCTTGCACTCACACTGTGATGTAGTGTTTCATTTGTTGGGGCACTCCTGAGTAGCAGGCCACTGAAACAAGACAAGACTTTATGATCATCAATGCCACAACCATTTGCTTCTTCTTCTTCATGCTATTGTTGTTTCTTTTTCTGTTTCTGTTTCTCCTAAATGGGGGGGGCAGGAGGGAGAGGCGCACACACAATACACACACACACACCACACGCACCGCACACATACGCACCAAATACACGCGAACGAGTATGCAGCAAACACAAGACATGTTTTAGCCGTCTCAGGGGGCAGTGTTTTCTCGATCCTTGCCCGTGTTGTAGCCTGTCCTATACTGGTTCTCACCTAAGGCCGCGCTGGACTTTTTGGACTGCTCCGGGGATAGCTTCAGCCCTGCTTGGGAGCAGTTCCGGGCCGAGCGCCCAGATGGCTTTGCGGGGGGTGCTGTTGGGTTGTTGCAAACGGCTGGGGTGCAATCGAAACGGATCTCTTTTGAAATGAGTTTACATTCTGAGGTTCACTAACTATGGACCATAAAGCAAATATTAGTTGGGGTTCTGGGAGTGCGAGAATCGAGGTAGTTCGCAGAGAAGATACACCTGTTCATTTGGATGGCACTAGCGAACGGAATGCAGCATGAGCAGCTTGAGCCTCTCCGAGCTGGAGGATATTGACTCTTTTTGCTCATGTTAAACCCATGTCGGGTCGTGTTTACAACCGTCTTGAGCCAGAGACACCGAGCATCTAGTGATGGACGCTAGTTTACCCATCGTCCCTAAATTCTCACAAAACAAAGGGGTACTCCGTAGTTTACCCATGTCCATAAACTTAGAATGTATAGCATGTGTTTGCACGTGGAACAGATATTTCTCCATCCAGTGAAAGAACATATTTCTCGCAGGGGCTCTCTGTTCTGACAGTGTATTGCTTTTCGATCGGGATACCCTAAGGTTGTTAAGGTGTCCCCTTTCGAACAGAGTTGCCAGTGTTGTACCCCCTCATGTCAACCTGTGTGCCTAGTAGCCCAGAATTGTGAATATTCCCTCCAAAAAGAAATCATTTATTTTCAGAGCTCATATTCGATGACCCAGGACTGTGAACTCTCAAAGCCGGCGGATTCGGTGCGCGTTGGGCGTTGGGTCTGGCTCGCCTAGGCCGAGCTGCCGGATGTCCTCACGCCTGACACTTTGCTCTCAGATGGCCTCGCCTCACAGGCGGGCTACAGGTTGGAAGGCCTCAACAAGCGGCTTGCAAAAGGGCTTGGGCTCTGGAAGCTTTGTTGCTGTCAAGGCGCACGGGGTAGATGTCCCAGAGTGTATCTTAGTTTTGGCATGAAATTGTCAAAGGAAGCTAAAAGGACCCCCCCCCGCAGAAGCACTGCTCATATTGAGAAACACACGAAGTGCGATGTTTCATTTGTGTTCTGTATGTGTGTGTGATGCTTGTGATGCTTGTGATGCTTGTGATGCTTGTGATGCTTGTGATGCTTGTGATATTTGTGATGTTTGTGACGTGCTAATTGGTTGAAGTCTTCGTCGACACTTTCTGAAGAGTGTTGAATCATGTTGAAAGGGGTCAAAAGGCGGTGGCAAAGTTAGTCAGAAGTGCAGCCTCTGATTGCGCAAGTTCCTTGATTATGAGGCCCCCCTTGCTTTTTACCCCAACCCCGTCAACTGCCTTTTTGTCAGCCCTCAGCTTTGCAGGCTGCAGACCTCTTGGATGCCGCTGAGGCGCAAGCTTTGGTCCGGACTGGGTTTAAGTCACAGTGAGAGAAGCACCTCCAGCTGCCATCATGGCAGCTTGGATCCTGTGCCAAGATGGCTTAGTTGAGGGCTCAGATATGCAACTAAGAAGTCGTCTCAAGTTTCTGGCACAGGCCTCTGGACAAAGGGAGACAGTTACCCTGAGTCCAGCAATCTGAGGCAGAACCATTTTTTGGCTGCGGAGCTGCCTAAGTACCTGGCACTACCACAAACAATGGAAAAATGATGGCATTTCTACCATCACTTCGTACCCATTCGTACCCGCTCCTCGCGTCCAGAGCAACCAATCAACTCCGGACAATGCACCGTGGGGAGTGTTGGTTGGTTAAGATGTTGGGAATTCCATGGAAAGCATTTCCAGGCGTTACCTCGCTGTTTATGGTCCCTTCCACTGTTTCGGACAGGTGCGAACGCCAAATAGATGATCAGTTCAAGATGGCCCAACATCTAGAGATATGTCTAGAACAAGAGGCACTTTTTTACACCTGATGCAAAAACGGAATGGAATGCACTCAGTTTAATACTCAAGTGGCTATGAACTTGAATGGGAAGCTCGTCACACTTGGCTGGTAGAAATAATTCCTCGAGTCATTTGCCCCACGAAAGCGGATGGTACCGTTCCCTTTATGTGGGCAAGTACAGGGAATGACTAAGCCAGAATCAGGAGCGCCCAAACCCTCCACTGGTGGTTTATGGTTTATGGTATGGCCTAAACCTTACTAACCACCCAGTCGAACCCAACCTCAGGCGTGAGTTTGCTCCAAACAGGGCACCCGTTTTGTGGCAAGGTGGTCACTCAACAGCTTGCGGAGCTGCCAGAAACGATAGAAACGCAGGAGCACCAGGCACGTTGTGTGATCCTTTGACACTCGCCCAACTCTGAGTAAGGACAAGCTGTACCAGTATTTGTTCGCTTAGTTCTTGGCACCATGATTGGTCAAAAGAAGAAACGCCCACCTACCTGAAATTCCAGTGCTTCCCAAGCTTCCCAAACGTCCCAAACTTCCCAAACTTCTAAACCCCGCAGCCCCTAAACCTCCCATTGGCTTTTCGCTTCGACGGAGGAGCTGAATTGGGCGGAGGCGGTGAGCGCCTTCAGCGGCCGCCTCCGCGGAGAGCTGGCCACCGAGGACCTAGGCCACTGCTGAGACCCGAGAGACGATGGAAGTGTCTTGTTTTTGAGGAAGCCCCCCCCCAAAAAAAAAGAGAAAAACATGGAGGTATTTACCAGGTATGTGTCAAACTGCGGATCCGGACCCCCAGAAGGTGCGGTTTCCCTACAGACCACTCTATTTGTGCATCTATCTACCTATCGAACTGTCTGTTTAACGTTTGTCTACAGGGTGTTGACATTTGATTTGGGCTCCTGCAAATTGGTGGTGGGAAAAGCATGGAAAAGCAAGACCTCCACTTTGACGAGCGTCCAATTCGAGAGACACCCGGCTGCTATTTCATCTGGGATCTCGAGCTGGGTGTTGTTTCTATCAGCCAGGGGATTTCTGCTTGTACGGCCTGGTCACGGCCTATGCAGTGGTGGCCTACCACATGGCGAGGCGGGGCCTGGCGATGGGGCGTAGTGACTACGTGCTGCCTAAGGAATGAGGGTACAGAATGGAAACCTACTGTGGATGAACGAAATCCATTTCGTACCGCCTAAGAAACCGCTGGTTTCTGATGATTATTACCAACAAACCCTGGTTTCCCATAGTTCTTAAATGGTGGATTTCGTCCATCCACAGTACCTGTCAGGAAAGCGATTTGGGCCGTCGGCAACGATTCCACGAGCTTTATGCCAGGGGGTCCCGAATTGATGTCCCAAACTCAGCATGGCGCAAAGATACTCGAGGGCACAAAGGAGATTGGAGAGAGTCATGTCTTCTTTGTATGTCACAATATGTGTGCAAGCACGTTGAGCTTGGACAAACTGCGTGAAACACAAGTGTCCCGGAAAGGTGGTACATTCATCATATAATGATTGAAGCTGGTCAGTGTCTACTCAATTTGGATGGTTTCAAAGCGGCACTTTGTCATTTGCAGGGGCTTACCATGTTGGAGCTCAAGCAAAGATGGATGCGGATGCGTCAAAGCAGGGACCTCGTTAGGGTTCGAAAGGATCCTGCTGATGGTATGGCACGTGATCCATGCAACGACAGTTGCAACGACACAGGACTTGGTTTCAAGTTGTTGTGACCAGCAGGCTCTTGTGCAACATGCAAGCAATGTCAGGCTTTCGACACAAACCTTGGCACTGGGTATTTGAAGAATCACGTCGTCAAGCCAGGCATTTCGGCGCGGTTTTGGCGCCAGGACAGCGGAGGACCAGCTACCTGGCTCGGCGAAGAATTTCCTGGCGCGCGCCTTGCGCTTTGGCACGGGATTGGCAGGGGTCCCCATAGTTACCCTTTTGCTGGATATTGAAGTCATCTGCTGGACCTTTGCAAAAGGAACTGGCAGGGTTCAGCGTTTCTCCCAGTTTCCCGTCTGAAGCGAACCCTCAGTTCAGTGGTGTCCGGTAGGGCTGTCAGCCAAATAATGCGCCCATCCCATGGTTGTTCGTGGTGTTTAAATGGAAAGCTTGATTGTGCGTGGCAAGTGCAAAATGCATAGACCCCTTTTATAAGACTATGGTTCGGGGAAAGTGTCCTGTGCACTTCTATGTTTGGCGGTTTGAGGGCAACCATAGCCGCTCTTAGTTGCCTGATTAATGCGAACTCCTGTTGAGTTGGAAGCTCTTGATAAGTCAAGGCCCTAGGCTTATGTTGGTCAGGGAACAACAGCACTCACGTCCGGCTAATTACTTTGAAGCCATGCTTTGCTCGGATGATTACATGAATGTTATTTGCAGAAGCGCCCTGGTCCGGTAGACGGGGTGAACAACTGACATTTTAGTGTGGAGCAGATTGTTCTGGGCCAAGCAAATGGCGACCGCGCCGGGATGACCAACCTCACACGTGATGGAAGACCCTTGAGCCGAGACCATTTAGTTTGGCAGACTCAATAATTATGTTTTGCTGCCGGGGTTCGATATCCGAACAGATTCGGTCACTGCCCACCTTTGAGGCTCTTGATTCTCGCATGGTCTGTGTGTTGCTCCCGGATGTTGAAAGCTGCTGTGAACCAATTCTTTGCCTCTCGCAGATGTCAAGTCGGCCCTCGGTTCGGAGCACGGAGGACCGGCACGGAAAGATAAGGCATCGATATGGAAGTCAAGGCAGCCTACAAACACATGGGTAGACCAACCTATGGTTTATAGAACGGGTCATTCAGGGTGCGTATTTGGGGTGCGCTGATTGTTGTGTCCTTTAAAGGAACGCTCAAATCAGTTATCTTGTCAAGAGAGACTCACCGGACTAGTTTTGGCACTTGGAGGCAAGGCCTGACTAGATGCAGCGTTCGCCAGCCGAGCGCGGTGGACTCTTGAGACGCACCCAAATCGAGAGTCAAGCTGCAAGATACAGTTGGAATCAGCGCAAAGCATCTGGCCAGTCCAAGGGTCCAACGACGAGGGAAATCAACACATCCGATGACTGGGACAGGATCAGCGGTCTTTAAGTTAGCAGAAGCTTCAATCCCAAACCATGCAGCACTGAGCTGCATGTCCTCTAAGAATTGCAACTGGCCTACAGGGATCCAGGGTTTCAAAAGCATGTAGAGATCGCAGCAGAGTGTCAATGCTGAGATCCCTTGCGAGCAAATCTGCAGGGGCACATTATCTTGCGAGACACGTTCTTGTATCATGGATTTTCTGTGGCGACGTTCGTGTTCGAAGGTACCATCTCCGTCGGTTTTAAGTCATTCGTATCACGGACACTTGGCGACCCACGGGCTTTGCATACACGGCTCTCTCAGGATGATCCTGGCCAAGAAGCAGGCGCACAGCCCAGCGGACGGTTGAGCGGTGTGGCTGAAGGGCTCTCACGGCACAAAATGGGCCATTGACATCACTTCTTCTTGTGACCCAGTTGATTAAGATCTCCCTCGATCTTTCTAATACGGGCCTTGTAGTGGGAATCCAGTTGATTGAGAAACCCTGGTTTGTTTGCTTTCGAATGTTTCGACTCATACATGATGTTTGCCTTTTGGCGCAGATCAAAAGGGTCAGGGCCCAAAGAATGTCTACCAGTGTGCTGACCCGGTGCAGAATGGCTCCATCCCTGAGCCCATTTTGACTGTTTCTAGAGCAGTTGGCAGGCGTTTCAGGGGTTACCCAATGGAAAGCATTTGTGTGTGTGTGTTGGTGGGTACGCCTTGGTTGAGTGTAGTCAGGGCACCCTTCAACGGGGTCTAATAGATGGGTTCTGATCCCTTGTGCCAAAGAACGAACATGTTGTTTCTTTGCATCCGAAAGGAGCCCATTTGTTAGAACCCATTCCACTGGTCACCCAATGTTGGGCAGACCCCAGTACCACCCCCTGTTGGTGTTCACCCCCCCAAACAAAAATATACATTTTTTCTACGGAAGACTAAAAACTCGCCCTTTCTACTCGCATCGTGTTTGGGTCTGGGTTTTATCAGGTCAATGACTTCCTGGAGTCCTCCTCCTGGCCAATCCGCTCGCTGGACCTCGTGGCCTTGTTGGAGTTGGAGGACTTCGCGAAGGTCGGGGATCGCGGGGGAGGGGGTGAAGGTGCTGGAGGATTCGGCCGGGGGAGCAGCGGGGGAGTCAAAAGAGGGGAGCTTGGTCTTTTCATCGCTAGGCTCCCAAGTCCCTTTTGATTAATTGTGTGAGGTCTTTGAAATCGAAGGCCCCAATATTTCAGGTCTTGGGATCATGGGGTTGCTTTGGATTTCATTTTGCCGCCAGCGGCTTAAGATGACGATTTGGTCATGATCTAATCTTTGTGTGGTTCAGGATCAAGGGACCGAAAGTTATGAGTCAAGGTTCAAGAGAAAACCCTTCCCAATGCAACCAGGCTCGGCTTGGCTTCAGTCTAAGGGTTGGCAGCCATACCCTTTCGGCATATGGTCGATGTTGGTTGCGTTTCTGACACGTGTGAAAGTATGGATCAGGACCCCAACATGGGTGGGTTGTCCTTTTCGTTGCATACTGGATGGATTGCAGGGTGCTGACCCTCAAGTTGTGAGTTTTTTAGGATTACCCCTTTCACCTGGTTCAAAAGGACGCTACCGTTTTTGGGGTTGCCCCTATGTTTTTGGCAACATCCTGTTGGCGTCTGCGTTTGGGCAAATTCCATTTGTCTACATTCCGCCCGCAACGCGGGTTTTCAGAGATAGGTGAATCACAGAGGTTTCTGGTTTGCGACCTCAGGAGGTCGTTTTTCCCGGTCCAAGTTCTTTTGACGGGGAAGGCTATGATCCGTCCAGATTTGTTGGCCACAAAGGGCTGCGACTCAGGGGTTTCGAGATCGGAGGAAATCAGTTTCGAAGTTTGTTTCAACCACCTCCTCGTCCCTTGAGGAGAACCAAAAGGGAGGTTGCTTCAACAATTTCCTAAGAGTCCCCTTGCCTTGTGAGGATGTTGATCCCTTCTTGACCGACAGACTGAGCTGCTTGGACCCGTGGTTTTCCGCTTAGGTGAGGTCTCTGAGGCTGCACCTGCCGTGCTGGCTGCGCTTGGACTGCATGGACACGCTGCCGGAGGCCCGCACAGCCGTACAATGTTTGGCGCCTACACAATCGTTGATGTGCCCGAAAGGAATCCAAAACTATGCTTTGATTTTGCAGACCCCTTTGAGCCCAGCTACCATATCTTGCTTTCAAGGCAACCACTTGGCCGGCAGTTTTTCTTTGCCAGTTTTAGCTGCCACGTCATTTTGGAACCTTCAAGGTCGCAAGGCTGATGTGGTTGGGCCCACGTCGGTTGATATGTTGAGCTTGGTGTGGTAACAGGACCTGGGCAAGGTTTTGATCTGTCGCAAACCTGTACCCAACATGTTCTTGAGCGTTTGTGAAGTTCCACCCAATGGTCTCTGACCCCCCTGTCCTCCACTTACGCTCGGGCATGGTCCTTACCCTTTAGACAAGAGATGAGCGGCCCAACCGCGTCACTCTCTCGATTCCAGTTAAAATAGGAAATAGGGAACCCATGGAACCCCCAAAATGGTGGCTTTCCTTTTGGTCTTTATTTAAACCAACCTGACAAAGGCCCCTCAAAATTCAGATTTCATTCGGAGAGCTTGGTCTAGAAGTCGCCGACAGAGCGGAGAATGATACATGAGCTCCAAAACGTGTCCCAGCTTGTTGCGCTCTTATCTCAACGTTTGCCAGCTAAGCATTAGATATTGAGTTTAAGACAAATGCGGGTTTGCCAAAGCTGGATTTTATGGGTTTGGGCCTGTGTTTTGCATTTGCTGTTGAGCTGTGCGGTAATGCTTGACGAGCTGTATATTGCACGAACAGAATATACGTGGGAGTTTGTTACATCCGTTGCCACAGGGCTGATCCGATCGGGTTGCTGCTGACCGGGATTTCTCTGACGCTTGAGGCGGATGCTCGAGAGACCCTCATCGAAGCCTTGAGAGGGGGTGTACAAGCTGCGTGTGTGTGTGTGTGTGTGGGTTGGACATAGCGGGTGACCTGCCCGGAGTAAATGTGCGGCAAGCATGCGCTTGCCCATTTGCGATGGCTACCCAAGCGACAGGTTGAATGCCAGTACAGTTTCAATGCTCTGAAGGTGGGGCTCAAGCATAAGTGTCGGCTTGTGAAGGAGACGTACTCAACGGGAATAGAACTTATTGGGCACGCCCGTCCTGCTTTTGAGCTTTCCCACCGATTAGCCCGATGTAACAAAAACAAACTTGAAGGGCTGCCATCAGTGTGAACATTTGAAAGTTGTGTGTGTGTGCATATGTTTGGCAAACGCTGCCCCCACCCACAAGAACAGGCAGCCACACTTCAAAAACCCTCTTGAATCAAAATTGGCTCCTGGTTATAATCTGGATGTCTAGGGTTCACCTCTCTTCTCCTTAACATATATCACTGATTGTCCGGTTGTGGGACGAGGCGCGGTCCCTGGATCCCCCGTTGCCGCCCTTGGCAGCGGCCTGGCCGCGGCGGGTGGTGGCGGTGGGCCTCCATACCACCTCCACGCTGGAGGCGTCGCGATCGCGTGAGGCGACCCAGTGCATCGACGGTCCCCAAAATTCCCTAGGCCAGTTTCATCATCTGGGCCGTATGACGTGTTTTTCCTTTTGAAGTGCTGTTTCAGGAGCAACCATGAGTGGCTGGTGTTGCTCGGGGTGGGGGTGAGAACATCACTCAACAATCACGGCACTGTTTCACCAGGCCTTGTCTACGGATGGAATTCCAGTCACGTGAGCTGAACATGATCAGTGCCGCTGGCATGTCATCACCATAATTACTCCTGCGGCTGCCTCGTTTCGAGAATACCCTACGGGGGTGGTTGTTGCAGATGGGCAGCCAATGTACCTAAAGAAACCACTCTTTACGGGTTCCCCTTTTTTAAGACACACCGACACAGTAGCCAGACAGGTGCAACTATAGCTTGCCATGAGACCATTTTTCCGGACTTCTCTTGTTTTCTCAATGTCAGTCTCACGCGGATTTCCATTGCACCTCAGCCGGAATCAAGCAACATCAGGACACGTTGAGCCTTGTCAAGTCCTTTTAGTCTTGACAGCATTGAGCCAACGCAGCTGATTGTGTCCTGTGGTGCGTGCTGCTTCTTGTATTTGTCCAGTGCATTGCTTTTGCTTGTTTTGTCAATATGGCACCGACCATTTAGTTGCTCGTTGTCCCTCTTTTTTTGTTTTCTCTCTCTCTCTCTCTCTCGCTCTGAGACTCTTACCGCTGCCAGGGCGCCTTCATTCCAGCAGGGTATCTCCCTTGCAGACCCCTTTCAATCCTGCGTGAAGGAGGAAATCGAAGTTTCACTGAGCTCCCGGCATTGCGGACTTTATGTTTTGATGCGCAATTGCCCTCAACATAATACTGTAATGCTCCCCGTCTAACTCCCCCATGATTTGGGATTTGGTTCTCTGAAGAACAAGACCAAGAACATAGGCTCGGGCCATCTTTGGTAAGAACGGTAGTCATCCAGGGGGACACAAAGGTACATGCTCAGATCAGCTTCATCCAGGCGATAAAGCCTCGGCAGCTCGGTTTCTGTTTGGATTCAGGGCCTGTAGTTAATCATGAATCTCAAGCGTGTGTTGGTGTTGGTAATTATTGGCAATCTTTCTACTCACCGACTAACAATAGATTTTGCTTGCCTCCCCATGGTGGTTCTGCAACGACAGCCCGGGACCAGGTGGTGACTGCCCTGAGGCGGGTGGGAAAGCCGGGCGATGGGAAAACTGACATGGAAACCAAATAAGCCGTGGCATCTCCAGCAGCAAGCCCTGGAAAACCTTCCGCGGAGACGCTCCGAACCATTCTGGACCTATCCAGCCACCGCTCCATCGAACCTCTCACACCTTTTGAAGCCTTGTGAAACCTTTCGGAGACTTCAAACCTTTCGGAGCCCTAGCCAGCTACTGCTTCATGGAACCTTGAGCTATCGCTTTTTGAACCTCCCGCAACCTTCCCCTCTCCGTACCCTGACCTTGGAACTGCTCCCGACCAGCAAGCGGCAGCGCAAAAAGTCTCAAGCGGTCAAGTGGTCCCAGACATGGTCTAAGGATTGGTTATTCCATTTTTTTGCCCTGCATGTGCATAAGTCTCATTCGGAAGCATACTTAAATAGCTTGTGGCAAAACACACCTTGAGGGCTGAGGGAACTGCTGGCTTCCCTTTGTGTTGGATAATGTGAGTTTAGCTTTTGAAACCGAAGGACACCATGCCATTGAGACGGGGCTGAGCCCTTTTTGGGTTTTAGCTCCACCTGAGGAACAATCGGGATGGTTGTCAACCCTTCAAACAAATTATACATGAATCATATTGAACCAACAGCGCTTCCAAGACTTGTTCAGCGTCAAGGACTGGCATCTGAAACGCGGAGTTCTGCGGGTCATGCACCAAGCCAAGCTCAGCTTTAGGAACTGGGCTCCAATCTGGCGACATTGAGGGTGGGTCCAAAGGAGGAAAGCCAAAAAATCAGAGCCTCGAAGGAGCCGTAAACACAGCGAAGGGAGGATTCCGACCAGGGTCTGGATATCCGCCCTTTAGATTGTCCCCATGGTTTTGGGGTTCTTTTTGATGCCAGGCTTTGACTTGCTTCTTGGGTCCCTTCTGGTTGCATGTGGGTTCTCATTTGAAGAGTTGATTGCTTTCAGGTTTTTTTTTCAGGTTCGAGCCATTTCGCTCGGGTGCGGATGTCACGTTGGCCGTTCCAGGGACGCCGTGACGGAATCCTGGGGCCGCGGCGGCGCGGCAGGCCTGGCACCTAAGGGCCCCGGATAGATCGGGTCCATTTCGACCCAACAAATGGCTGTCCTGTGGGTTTGTCCTTAAGCCAACCCGAAAAAGGCAGCCTCAAACAAACACATCCCCATGTTGTCGGCTTTTGGTTTGTCTTAGGCGCAGAAGGAATTCCATTCTATCCTTTTTGGTCCGCAAAGCAATGGGAATGGTTAATGGATTTGGCCTAGATGGTATTACGTGTATGGCGAACGTCACTCCTGGTTATGATGTGCAGATGGATACTGTACCTGGGGCTTCCTTCATTTGCTCCGTGGTTTGATTTGGTCCAGGCAAATTAGGGCACGAGCTCACGGGCTCACGGATCATAGCACGAGCCCATGCAGGTCCCTTACAGGTCTTTCTGATTTCCGGTGTGTGAATGATAGGGGCCTGCCAAGATTTGTCCACTCATGGCTTTGGTGTGTTGTAGATAAAACATTGGGCCTCCTTTCCCTATTCAAGGTTGCTGTTGTGGTGCAAACTTGGACCCTTCGTGTTAAATGTCGCGCTTCGTGTCCAGACATGCCCGAATATAGGGCCACTCTAGGAATGCACAAAGGGATCCCGAGCGTGGAGATAATAAGCAGCTGTATGTCAAGTTGACTCGCTTGGTGCCTTGCCATCCCGATTCTGCGGCCCTCGCTGAAGATTGACGGGTGTGATGAGAAATCAATATCATTATCAACAGGAGCTTGGGCTGCCTATATGCAGCATCCCTGACCCTTTTCCGCAAAAAAATCCTTGAACATGGAATGGAATCTGTTTCAATTCCTGTTGCTTTGCGCTGATGCAAAATCCAAACCAAGCCTGAACCAACCGTAAACCAACTATGAACTATGAGCCAGCCCTGAACCGACTCAAACCAGGCCTGAATCGACCCCAAACCAACCCTAAAGCAACCCAGGAGAAGAAACCACAAAGCAATACCTCCGATGAGTCCGATGAGGGTGAGCTTCTTGCTTGTTAGGCGCTGGCTTCGACATCCAGTACGCGGGCCATCCGTGTCCCTCCCACTCCGGGAGCGGGCATGTCATTGTCGTCACTAAAATCAGTGCGAAAGGGCGCCCGTTTCCAGGAATGCGACATGGTTACTATCAGTTTCCTCCCAGCAAAACGGGTTTGTGCAGCCCAAAAACCCTATTCAGTGAGCTTCCGGACATCAGTCACTTTTTTAGGAAAGACTTTTTTTGGAAGCAAATCGGAAGCAACAAAAACAGCACAGGGTACTTTTAGCAAGCAGAAAGTCACTTCGCTGCTAGGAGCGAGCACCACTGCGCCATGCGCTGTGAGCTCCTGGGTTTGTGCAGCGACGCGGAGAATGCCGCAGACCCCCTCGCGGCGCCTCGGGAACTTAAATGTGTTGTGTGTGGGCGTGTGTCTGGGTTTGGGTTTGTGTCTGTGTTTTTGTTTTTTGGTGTGTTTGTTTTGGAGGGTGTCATTTTTCACGTTGGTTTCAAGGGAAAACAACAAGGAACGACTTGTTTTGGGGTGTCCCTTGATTTTTTACACATACCCAACTTGGTCGAGCAGCCTGTATGGACAATGCGCTTCTAAATCGTTTTGTGGTCGAAAAAGCAAGGTGCCCCTTTTTGTCGATGCTTGTTTTCTTGGAGTTGTTGTCGATAGACACTTCATGTTGGGGCGGTTTGGTGGTTTGGTGGTTTGATGGCTGCCTTTTTGGGAAACCGGGTTTCTGAGGGTACCACTTTTGGAATCAGAAAAGACAATTATCGGGCAGCCACGTAGGTTGTTTGATGGTACGAATCTGAGCACAGCTCTTTGGGATTAGGTTGGATTCAGTTGGACTGCTGGCTGAAAGTTGTTGCTCTTGTCGTCGTGTTGTGTCGAATCGGACCATGGTATTTGTTCGGCTGAGGCTCATTGATAGCTCGATTTGGCCCAGTTGCTTGGTGTTGCTGGATTTGGCTGTGGGTCAGAACAATCCACCCCGACCAATCAAATTAACCACACTAGACCTGCAGTAACGAGCAGCCAACATGTATTGCTTCTGGTGAGCTTTACCTTCAGCAAGCCCTGGAAACCACGTAGCAAACCACGTTAAAGCTGAAAATTCCCTTCCTTCCACTGTGGATTAACATAAAACCCACACAAAAGCATGAACACTTGTAGAGGAACCTCTTTGGACCGCCCTGTTTGGCCATCGGCTCATTCGGCTCATTCCAACGGGTTTGGAGCCTTCACTTCCCGAGTTCCTGGACTCAAGCCACTCAATTGAGAAGAGTTCAGGCTTTGTTCAGCCGGGTTTGGGGCCTGTGTGTTGGGACCTGGGTTTGTGGTAAACATGTCCAGTCCATGGTGCATTTGGGGTTTGGGACCCGGACGACACCCATTTTCTTTTCAAGGGGGATTGTACCAATGTCCCATACTTTTCGACCAAAAGACTGGTGGTGGACATGACTACATGACTCACCAAAGTCATCCAAAGGTTCCCCTACGACTCATCGCCACCATTCCCCGCACCTCCTCCCCCGTTTTCCGTGGATGGCTCAGGAGTTTGTGGCCGGGGCCGTGGACGTGGCCAAGTTCGAGGAGCGTCGGGGCCCCGAAGTTTTCGCGAGCGGCGGGGGCTGAGCGAGCTCAAGGCATTGGGCCCGAGACCCTGCGCCCCAACAAAGATCTGGTTGTTTCCATGTTTCTTTGCTCGCTTGCCTGCCGTTGGTTGGTTGGTTGATTGTTTTGTTTGTTTGTTTGTTTGTTTGTTTGTTTGCTTGCTTGCTTTGGTTGGTTCGTTGGTCGATTGGTTGGTACTTACTTGGTTGCTTTGCTGGGTGCGAAATAGCCATGAATTGAAACTAACATTTCAAGGGCATTTTTAGCTGATCGTCTCCCTACCAACCGCAGCCAGAAGCCACTCCCTCCTCCCCGTTTCCAGAGATCCCCCCACTTTTTGGATACAGTTCAATTTCCGCCCAAACCACTGTTATTCAATTTCCCCCACGGTTGATTACCTGTACACCTTTCACCTTTGATACAGATAGGGGAAGGATAGAAGTCTTGTACTTTACTATACCCGCGTTTTGAGGTTGGGTGTGGTTTGTTCACTTTCTGCGGGGTGCCTTGTTCAGGGTACCCTTATTCAGGGGTTTGCTTGAAAGCTGGATAAAACGAGCTCGCCCTGTGTAAAACGAGCTCACTGATGACAAAGGTCCTTTACTTCCAGTTTCAACATGAGTATCTTGCCGGGCGCTAGATAGCACACTATTGCAACTTCCTTTCCAGGTGGACAGTTGCTTACTGCCCCGACCTATTTTGGACGTTTCGCTGTAAACGCGGCCTTCGAGGTGAGTCCTACGCCATGGACGAGGCCCGTGCGGCGCTGCGCTGGGCCCCTCGCAGGCGATGGGACCTGGGCGTCTTGGGAACGCCTGGCGCGATTTCAAGCGAAGCTGAGCCCCTTGCCCAACCAAAAAGCAATGGCTTGTTACGTGTAAGATTGGAACATACCAGAAGGACCAGAAGTAGCAAACAGTTGGGCATGTTTCGGTTGATTCCCTGTCCACGTCTTCGGAGCATCCTTGGGACAAGGAAACCTTGGGTCACGGACTCGGCAATCACAGACCCGACTGATTTGCCATGCCCACTTTGGATTGTGAACAGTATGCACTCGTCTGCATGCCTTGGTGCCAAGTTTTGAGAACCTTTGTTCGTTACCTTTGTTGGGGTCCTAAATCTTTCTTCAACACATTCGGTGTGGAACATTGTTGTTGACAATTCGATTCATCACGTCCAATAGTCTACTCAGCTGCTGTGTGCGGTGCGCAATTGTTTGCGTGCCGTGAAAGAGAAGCGACCGTTCTGTCATAGTATTATCTATTGACTTTCCATGCCTAGTCTCATGAATGATGGTTGCCTTCCCTCACAGCTATGTTTGCGCTTATGTCTGATGAAACAGGCTAGTGGCGGCTTCAGCTTCATGAGTAGTCAACCACATGTTCAAATGCGTTGTGTGCTTTGGCAGGTAGTCGCAGTCGGGAGGACTTACTCCCAGGACAACGGCCATGTCAACTGTGCCATGGTCAAATACTCAGTGATGTAGGTATAGGGAGGATCAACGCCACTCTTGAGTATAGTTCAAGGATGTCCACAGCCAATGCAATGTTTCCATTTGAAGAAGTCATGACCATGGCCCTGATCAGTTTCTCACCGCAGCACTCCGGATGCACAGCAGCCGTTTTCGGTGGGCGTGTCACGTGTCCCGTCCTTACGGCAGGCTCGAGCCCCTTCGACAGGCGGAGCTGATTGTTTGCACCTTCCCCACGGCTGCTCGTCAGCACCGCGCCATTTGTGCCATGGCCAAACTCCTGGATATTTGCCAGAAAACTATGGCTATGAGCCCCTTAAGACGTTTGACAACCATGAAGGTTCCTCTTAAGTAAGCCATCACCGTGATCCACGCAAGGATTGAGGGCACATTTGTCCGTCGCGCAAGCTTGCTTAGACTGTCTCAGGAATTGGGCCGAACATCGTGGTCAAAGGGACAATCACGTATTTGGACTGAATAGGAAATATCGGTTTGGCGCAAAACTGGGCAACCCCCAAAACATGGGCGGCTTTCCTTTCGCTCCTCTCTAGAAATAGGCCCCCCGAACATGAACCGAAAGCTCATTGAGCGAAACATTCTGAACAACGGGATATAATGGGATTTGGACTGCAACCCCAAAACGTTTTAAGTCATGAGAAGCGTGTTTGTTCAATCAACTTCTGAGGAAATCTCACCCCGGTATCATATTGGGCAACCTTTACAAGGGGTGCGTCTGGTGGCAACGAGGTTCTGTGCGTCCTGCTGCACGAGCTGTTGCCAGAGAGCCGGACTCAGCTGAAGATGGTTGCAACTGGCTCTCTCACAAAAGGGGTGGGCGGGCAGCCTTACCCACAAAGTGTCCTTTTTTGGGAACTCTTATTCAGGTTGGTGAATCACTGCAATTCACCCACATTCCGTGATTGGAGGTTTGAATGGAACAGAAAATGGAATGGGAGGTACAGTTTGGCTGACCAGCGACTGATGACCGCTGCCCATAGCTGACAAGATTTACTGTACTTGTGACCCCCTTTCGCAAGAAGACGCAAGGGGGCCAAGTGCAAATTCACATCCGTTTATTTTAGAGGGAGACCCCTCTGTTCCCAAGAAGGAAGCAGTTTCCTCAAAAGGAGTATCTTTGTTCCAACAATAGAAGTGGACAGCCTCAAAAGACAACCAGTTTTCCCAGACCTTCCTTCCTGTCAGCTTCCGTTGTTGGAGGGTGTCAGAGTTTCTTCAGCTGAGGACGGCCCAGCTCTACGTAGCCATCGCCAATCCTCTCTTTGCAGCGCCAGGCTGCACGAAGCAGGAGGACAGAACGTGCGTGCCTGCAGCGAGGCGAGACCGAAAGAGCCCATCTGAAGAGAGGTGGGAAACTGAGGTAGGCATCTACGAAGCAGGGGGGGTGACCCCAAAATGGTGGCTTTCCTTTGTGGGTTCGGTTTTTCACCTTCTCAGTGCTGGTGTTCTGCTTGGTGACTTTGAGGCACGCCTTGCTGAATATCTAGGAGCGTAAACAACTGATCTCACAAAGCACGGGCTTTGTATAGCGGGTCCATGCTCTGACCAGCGTGACTTGCTCGAATGGTTTGTTGCCAACAAACTCTGTAGTCTACGAGGGTTGGTTGGGCTAAGTCGTATTTTCTCTAGTATTGGGCCCACAAGCGATCCAGACCCCCGATCCAGACCAACACGCAGGTGATCCAGACCGATCTAGACGTCCGCATCACTGCGGCAAACTCCATCCATGCACGTTTCTTGAGCTATAGCCATGTATGTATATATATATAGACATATATTATAGCAGTATCACAAGCATATAGCTGCTGGATGTCTTGTCTCTCTGAGATGGCGCCGGCCCACACACTTGCACCTCGGATGAGGAAGCCACCCAAATTGGTCAGGTCCTCTGAAAGCATCCGCTTTGAATCTCGGCAATGTGCTCATGCAAGACGAAGAAACGCTTGGGCGTAAGCCAGTTGTCGGCCGATTCTGCTAGTGCGAAAGTCCACGCAGGATGCCAGGACTGATTATTCTTTCTGAAATCATAGCAGTTCAACACATCGCAAAGTAAATCTACCTTAACTCTCGCAAAGTTTGAGCTGACCTTTGGTGGCCTCCGCCAAGAACCTGGAGGACTCGGAAGAACTCCAGAGCTTTCTGATGTCGCGAATGGCAGAAAACTCCTTGCGTTCGTGGGCGCAGGTGCAATTCGGATCAACTCAGTGTGCTTGGGCGACTTGAGATCCGTGGTTCTGCTCTCACATCACTTGCCGCCGGAAGATGTTTCCGTGCGTGCGCGGCCAGGACTCGACGGTTCGAGACTGCGAAGCGGCCGAGGCGCAGGAGCGGCAGAGGCGCATACCATGCGAAACGAGCGACCCACGGTGAAAAAGGATATGAAAAACTTCACAAGGGCCCAATATCTTTTACAGGCTGTGACAATCGAAACCGGCCTGCTGTTTATATTGCAAGATCAAGCCTGATTCCAAGAGATTAGGTGGCAGGAATTTAAAGCGATGCTTTTGCTTGCCCAGGCAAACAACGCTGAGACGAGTAGCTAATCTATGACCACACTTGAGCCGGCACCTGGCAAACATCTCACAATCACTTGGAAGGACTCGCTGAGGGCAGGAATGAGCCCGATGCTTGATAAGTGTGTTGCTGATAATCTTGATAACTGTATCATTCCATTATTCTCATCCATCGCGCTTTTGTCAATTGTCCAAGATGCCGGGCACCTGTTCATCGTGTGTGTGTGTCTGTGGTGTGTGTGTCTGTGTGTGTGGCTAGGAATTTCATATCCGCCTCAAAAGTGGTCGGCGGACGTAAATCCTGTCAGCAGAAAATATCAGGTAGAATCTGGGAGTGACGGCCAGCAAGCTGCCCTGAAGGAGCCGGTGCGTCATGTTTGTCGTTTCCAGGTTTTTGTGCGAATCAGCCCGGGTGGGGTTGTAACTTCACGCCAAGTGATGAGCATGTTCGGGATTGTGTGAAGCACCCCTCTTCCAGCCGGCTTAGCTGCATTTCTTTCACGGGGTCCCTTTCTTCTCAAAAGGAGGAAAAAGCTGAACCCTGGTTGCTCTCCGCCGTGCTCCGCACCGGCTTGGGTGAGAAGTTCCAGCTGGATTCAAGCGGGCTGGTTTCTTCCCACGTTTGAAGGATCCCGAATGGTTGAAAGGGCATGCCACAAAATGTTTTTCAGTCCAAGAAACCAGTAGTCTATGAACCATCGGGGGAAACTTTCCACCTCCGCTTGTCACCCGTTTGACTCCACGAGAGGAGTTCCTCCTCGCTTTTCGCTCCATGCTGGCCAAAGACAAGCTGGTTCGGGGTGTGGCGGCCTACACCGTGCCTTGGCACGGTGCTCTCTCTGGTGCCGAGCCCAAATGCAAGTCAAGTGGCGGTGAATCAGCTGGAGGTTGTTCCCGCCATACAATCAACCGTGAACGATTCCCTTGCACATTCCTGCAAGTCAGTCAGAATTTTGTTAAGCCTGGGTTCTCATTGTGGTGAAAGCAAGTTAACCAGGACTATCTCCTTCGAGCATATTTGAGCAGGGGGCACGCACGGGCGTATGGGTGTGCATGCAGAAACATGCAGCAAAGGAGAGAAAACATCCATGTGTGGCGAATTGCCAATTCTCATCTCTTCGCAGTGCGTTATTTCATATCGAGACAGCTCACTCGGGGGGGGAGGCCTACGCAAAGCTTCTCCTGTACGTACTGCGGACATGTTTTTGGAGGACGTGTTCCTGGATCTATGTTGAAGGGGTTTGAGACTTGGTTTAAAGATCCTCTATCCATCCATCCATCCATGCATTCGTGCATCCATGCATCCATCCATTCAAGAATCCATGCATCCAGTACTTGCGTACTGGGTATTGCTACCGACCCCTGGGATTCCCACCATCACCACCATCACCACCATCACCACCACCACCATCACCACCATCACCACCATCACCACCATCGTTTACCTCAAGAGTTTGATCTCCTAAACCATTCTTTTGATGGGGATTGCAATCAGGCCACTTGCCACCCAGATGGTGGCCTTGTCGCAAATGGCGACCTGGGGAAAAGGCTCTGGGCTAATAATGTCGTTTGATTTGTGAGTAAGGTGAAGCTGGCCGTGGCTCGCGAGCAAAGAACAAATCTTATGAGAAGCTCACATGAGTGAAAACCGTTGAGAGCCCGGCGCGGTGCCGCAGTGCATATGTTTATCAGAGGGTGTGTCAGCGGACAGCTTGCGGTTGCGCCGGCGCTTGTACCCTTGACAATTTAGAGTTTGAAACCATTTGGGTTACCCATGGTGCTGCCCGTCTAGGTGACGGCTGCGCTGGTGGCATACCAGGCTTGGTCCGCCGGGCTGCCTTCTGCCATTCACGATGGGCTGATCTGATGTTTCCAAGGGGCACAATATATGACACGTACAACCAGTGTCAAATATATGACAAGTCATGTTATATATATATATAACAAAAGGCAAAGAAACACATAACATATGTTACCAGATATGAATATATAACATGTGTGCATGTTATACATTGGAATGACACAACCACCCCCGCCCGGGGAACTTGGCCCCCCGCAAGCCTCAACCAGTCTAGACTAAACTAAACCAACCCTTGACCAGCCCGCGGGGAGGGGGAGGGCAATCCTGATCACATGATACGTAGATATATATATATATATACATATATGTGTGTGGATGTTATGGTTTGATAATTTATATACATATAATTATATATATATATATATTTATGCGCTGACAGATGTTGGTATTTATACAATATTATCTGTATATGTATATATGTATATATTATAATGAGCATGGAACTGGCCTGAACCTCACAGCCGTGGCAGTCAGGGCCCGAAGGTTGCCTGGTTCATGCCACAGTTTGTTCGAGAGCAGCCGAAGACAGAATACCTCAACGCCTGTCCTATGAAAACCGTTTGTTCTGTGGCATCCTCTAATACTTTTTTTGTTTGGTGGTTTTCGCGCGAAGAATGGTCTTCCCTTTTTCTGGGTGGTTTCGTCGGCTTTTTTGCCAAATCTCTACTGCCACATTCAAGCTGGACCACGGTTCGTGGCCCAACCCAGTAGGGAATTGTCCTTTTTCCCCTTTTTGTGAAGAGGGTTTCAAATTCAAGTTATGTCAGCTACTGGAGGGTTTCCTTGAAAGTCAACTACCATGGAAAAGGTTGCCCTTGTTCCCATGGAAATCCACTGGGGGTTTGGGGCAGCTTTGCAACGGATTCCTACCGCGCCAGGCAGGTGTGGTTCTACCTTTGGCAGGCCATTTCGGGGACAGCCAACTGCCGTTTGCAAGATGTGAGGTTTGGTCCAATTGTCAAAGGAAATCCATGACGATGGAGGCAATGGGTGTAGAACGGGTATCCCAACCTTTACCGCAGTGTGACGAGGTTTGTTTTTGTCCAGATTGTTTGTTTCATGGTTAACTTGCAGCGCTTTCAACTAGGGCCCGTGCTTTTGTACAGGGGAGTACATACTTGCTTCTTGCGGGTGGATGGTAAGCAAGTGTAAGCCCATTTAGAGACCGGCTTGGCCTGGCTTAGCAAGTTGAAAGGGCATACCTTCTGAGACAGTGTTATAGTGTTATACCCCAGCCACAACTCCCCCAGAGGTCAGGGTTGCATGTTGTTTTTTGTCGAGAGTTGTTGTTTCATATTGTTTGCCCTGGGGTGGGAAATTCCCGACTGAATGGATGGTGACATTCCGGAGCAGGCCGCAAGCGACGAGCACGGCCTTTTTCTCCGAGGAGTCATGGCACATTCTGCATCTATATGGCGTTTTGGCCCCAATTGCAAGTGAGGCGCACACACACAATTGTCAGTCACAGGGCATTGAGGAAAACCGAAGTGAGACACTGGCGCTATCCCTCAGGCATGTGGCAGCATGCGCTTGCCGGTATTGTTTCCAGCAGTGTCGGCAGGTCGCACGCACCGGGGGCTTTCAGTGTGTCTTTATAGTCGCACCTTTGAGTGCCGAGCCAGGCAAGGCTGGCCGATACCTGCCACAGCAGGCAAGGTTTCGAAGTCCCAGCTGGAAATTTGCGGAAGCGGGGGAGTCCTAAGGTTTGCCTAGGACTCCGAATGGGAATCGCATTCTACAGCACCCTTCAAACTGATTGGTGGATTAAGTCCCCATGAAACCCTTCCCCACACGATCCACCATTGCAATGCATCCCCATTACAGGAACTGAACATTCTTGGCCATGATTTGAAAGTCTTGGCAAAGCCTGGGGCCACCAATCCGTCAGGATAGAGTCGCGTTTGGTTGGTGCGGCAACAAATGTCCCGCCCTGTTTTCGCCACTTTCGATTGGGTTTCCCGTGAAAGGAAGCCTTTGACAGCAACCTTCAACACCTTGAGAACCCTTTCACAAGGGCTTTCCAGAAATCATGGTGTCCTGTATTTTTCCTGGCCACTGAGCATCCGGCCACGCGCTGGCTCAGCTAGCGGACATTTGGTTGTCCAGCGGATGCTGCCAAATTTGAATGTTGTTTGACCCGCGGGCCAGGTTTCGATTTGACTTGAGTGAGCCGGGCAAGGGCCCAAGCATTTCCTGTTGTTTCCCTCTTTTTTTGTGCAAAACCTTTTTTCGCGGCGCTTGTCCCACCAAACTTGACCTTGCGATCTTCTTATGCGCAGCGGCGGGAACGTGGGTAAGTTACTTTTATCTCGCGGGCGTGGCCACTGACAGACGGTACTCTCGCACGTTCGTGATTTTTCAGTGTCACTGAGGGTCAGGCGCCAATTTGGTGATTGAAGTGCCTCTGCTTTGACAAGAGGCTGTGTTTCAGCATGTCCTCTCAGCCCAGCTGTTAAACGAAGCGCACAAGCTGAGCGCTAGAATTAGTCAGATCAAAGTTGCATCCAAAAAGCAATGTTTCTTCCACCCATCGGTAGATCGTACTAGGTATAAAAAAATACCCATCGGTTCGGTATATATCGGTATATAGATACTTACAAAGAGCTCCAACGCTTCGGAAGTTTCGCTTACGCTTTGCTTCGGCCAGGCCTCCTGGAAGGGGCCCGAAAGCCGCGAGGTGCTGATCGCACGCAGCCGCTTCCTGGAGACGGCCTGGGGCATGGAAATTCCGCCCTCCGCCCAAAGGAGGGAACAAAAAAGACCCAGGCAGCGTAGCGCTTTTGTTGGTAGGGGCGTTGCCCATTTTGGCATGAGGCAAGCAGTAGAGCCTTTTCACATTTTTCTTTACTTTGGAAGCTGGTCTATGAGTGGCTCGAACCCAAAACAAGGGGATCCACTAGGCTCCAAATCTCGATGCATTCCAGGGCATGCACGTTCTGTTGAACGAGTAAGTTGTAGTCGTTGGATGAATTGGCGGGCCGCCATTCCCATCATGTTTGTGACCAGAAGGTGGGTGACTGAGGTGGGGCCCATCCGGATTCGTTGTCGGACGAATGCAAACCCACTGCACGGCCGTTCTAACATGCAACGAAACTGCCTCAGTGTATCAAAAGGGCCCAACGCGGAGAGGAAAATGGTTCAAACCAGGACCCAGGTTCCATGGCCGCGTTGCCACTCTTGGGGTCTAAATGATTAGAATGGAGTTGCGGGGCCTTCAAACCCAATTAAGCCATGCTCGCGAGAAAATGGTGCGTGTATTTATTCGGGACTAGGTGTTCTTTGCTAGCCGGTTCTGGCTGTGAGGCCTTTGGCGCTGCTTTCCGAAACCTGCTGACGGAGTTCCAGGACTGTTTTTTCCCATGTCAATGTGGTGCCCGGGTTTGCAGTGCGCTTGGTGTGCTTGCAATATTTGGGCTAGCAGCCGCAATAGCGTGTACGTCTGGGCAAATGTAACGAGGGGCTCAGTGGATGTGGGCAAGATCCAGGGCAAACCATGCAACAGCGAGCCCTGAAGCTGACACCTTCTCAAGGCACACAACTCATCACGCCTGTCCCTGCCGCTGGACCAAGGAGTCTGAGAGCTCCTTGTCCTTTGTCTTTCAGCAGGAGGCGGGAGAAGAGATTGCAGCCGGCGGCTGGGAGCGAGTTGACAGAACTTCCAGACCCAGTCTTATGGTTTTGAGCGGCTTCCACATGCCATGAGTTCTGGGACTCTTCCGCTCGCCTTTTACGATACTCCTCTGATGATGGTTGTTTTCATATCTTCAACACAGCGTCCGGCATGGCGACGTCGCCGGTTTTTAAGCTTGTGCAGCATCAATTGAAGCCAACTTGTTCTGTCGCTGGTGTGCCCCTCGCAGCGGCCATGAGTCTTTGGAACGCTGTGACCGGGACTTCGCAATTATTAAGCGATCATGGATTTTGACCGGCCATGAATTTCCCAGTATGTTCCACTCAACTTGTTTTGGAATCCTGTGATGCTAACCCCCAGAAATAGAAGCTGCTGGTTTGTGACTTTGTGTCAACAAAGCGAGCAGATGCAAGTACTTCAGGCCGGCACGTACCTCAGCTATGAGGTGGGGCGCGAAATCCCGAGACAAGCAAACGACGTGGGGCTCCATTGGTAAAACACAGACGGTCGGCTCTGCGGCAATCAAGTTTAATAGGGCACCACCTGCACAGTGGCCAGTGGCTGGACAGGATTCCCTTCTCAATGCTGTCCAAGTGTGCCGGTGTGACAGTTCATATCAGTTCAACTCTGACCAGGTCATTCTGGTAAGGACATGTTCTTTGCGGTGCAGTTGTTTGTCATGGTTCCTAAAAGGTCGCATGGGTAGAACCCAAAGACTAGATTTTGAGCGCTCAAGCGATCTATTCGCGCGAGGCAATGTTTTCTTGGCACGCAGCCAACTCTTGTCTGTACCAGCCGTAGAAGGTGTGGCAAACATAGTGCTTCGCTCGCTTGATGGTGGCCCTTTTTCACAAGCGGAATGTTGTGCTGCTATACTGGTGGTTGATGTCAGTCATTTCTTGGCCGCTCGAGCCACAAGAACCACAAGTTGATGCCCTTCTTGCCTTCAACATCATTCAAGTGATGGATCACAGCTTTTGTTGGAATCGAGTACTTGACGAATGACATCTCTCAGATTTGGGATTCGCGGGTCATCCATGGTCCAAGCAGTTGAAACCAAAACGCAACCCAAGATATTGGTGATGGCACGGGATGGCCGTATCTCCTGCTCACTTCCAGGTAGGCTTTGACCGAGGACGCGCCAATGGACATTTGCAGCTAGCCCACGAACTCACTGTAGGTTCTTTGCTTGGGGATGCGCGCCAATGTATGCGTTTTTCAAGGGTATCCTTTTTGGGGCTTACAGTCTTTGTGCTAGAGGTGATCTCGCCTCTCACGGTAGAGCAAGTGGGCCCTTGGATGTCTTCAAGGACACTCCTCTTGAAACGGGAAGCTAGAGAAAACGCAGGGTGCTTCTAAGGAAAAAGGGAACCATTGCTGCTTTTTGTTAAGCTCAAATAGGCTTTCCGAGATAAAGCGCCACACAATCGCATGTTTTGCTCTGGCAAATTCGCCGTCGACCTTGTTCAGAGCGCGAACATACGCGAACGCTGCTTGCGGTGCGGCTATTGATCCAGCATCACCCTGCCTACACTGAGATTCCTTGCGACCCATGTGTCGCGCTTGGGGCACATTTGAACCCACCAATGATGAACATGTGGATGTTCCAAGATGTAGGCGAGAGCTGTATACGTTCCCACACGCATACCCGTTGTTTGACCACATGCCCGGCTCTCCCCAAATCGCCAGAAGCTGAGCGAGTTCCGCTGCGCCATCATATTCGCGCAGGAGCTCCCGAATTCGGCCAGGGTTGCGGGGAAAAAGGAACAAACTAAGTTTCGCTGTCTGGCTGCATCTTTCACCTTGAACTTGAAACTTGGGAAATGTGCGTATTGTTGCACTCGGGCAAACAAACGAACTTGTTGGGCTAATGGCAATGGCCATGAAGACATGGTGTCTGAAATAGCATCTGGCTTCGTTGGGGGAACCTTTTCTTCCAAGTCGACTCAGAGTTGAAAGCCATCTCAGACAGAACAGCTTGCTGGCATTATTGCTTTGGACTTCAGGAGCTAGCGCCCATGGATCATTTAGAGCATTTGTGTGTTTGTCTGAAAATGTGTGTATGTTTCTGACATGTTCCAAATGCAACCACTGGGGCACCACGTAGCCTACTGGCCTTGCCTGCAGAAGAACTGATGGAACTTGCGTGTTTGCAGGTAGCGCGAGATATGTTCACGGCAGCAGTATGTGCTTTATGCCATTATTGTTTACATAAAGTCTTCCCAGGTATCTGCGGCGCTCAACTGTCTGCTGGCAAACAATAACGTTCAACGACCGAAAGTTTATCGAACGACCGAAAGTTTATCGGTGTGCATCGGAGACTGCATAACATAATACTTGATCAACCTAATTGTTGCGTCTCTTCTTTTTCTTACTTGCCGTACATGTCCATTTTGTTCGGGTCTTCAGACAACTTTCCGGAGCCTGCAAACTTGCGATTTGGGATCTGACTGCGGAAATGTACTTTGTGTCTTACACTTGTACTGCAAGGTTAGGCTTTTCGAGCTGGAGCTGCAGAAATGTATGGCTTGTAGGCTTGTACCGGACGTGTACTACAAACTACACTTGTATGGCGATTTTCGAGCTGGAGCTACGGAAATACACTTCATGTCAATTGCACTGCAGAACATATGTTCGAGCTGGAGGTGTGCGGAAGTGTACTTCGCACCTGCACTTGTACTGCAAAGTTGCGGTTTGTCGGGCTGGAGCTGGGGAAGCCGTATGCAAGGTCATTCCCAAGATCATGGCTCAATGTGCATTTGACACCTGGCCAGCGTCAGAGGGTGCATGTCAGACGCATGTCTACATATAAAGTGCCCACGGCCAGGGCGTTTGGCTGACCCGATCGCTTGGCCAGGATCTGGGTCTTCACAAGTTCACGGAGCACTACGCAGGGCACCTCAGCCATGGCAAGAGCCGGCTCTTCAACTGTTCTGATCTTCTGATTCGGATAAAGCAGTTGTGCTGCTTATGCAAATTGCACTCGGCACTACTTACGATTTCATTTCGCTCTGTGTCCGGCCCTCAGCGCTCATGTGATGCGGTGCCCACGTTATTCTACATTTGCTCAGTGTATCCTCGTGCTCTTTGCGGCTGTGCTGTTGAGTGTGGGTTGAGCTAGTTCCGGCGAGTCGGGTCGCCTTGCGTTTAAGCAATAGGACCATAGCCGCCATGGCAAAACCAACCGGTTCTTTACTCATTTACTCCAACCCAATGCTTCAAGGGCTTGAATCGCAGGCGATGGCCATGCCACTTTGGGTGCCCTCCAGGGAGCTCGCCTACAGGCGGGATGCCTCGTCTAAGCTCGTTGTCGATGGCTTGTGGCTTCGCAGTCGTTGGCTGCCATTCCTTGGCTGATTCCTTGCAGCGTTTGAAGCTCTAGGATACCTCCCCCCGTTTGGGTTTCAGCTGGAGCATTGGTGGTAGGTGTCCCAAATGGCTTGGGTGTGTTGCTCAACAGATGAATTGGTGCCCCATTGGCTTCGGTTTCCCCTTTGGTTTCCGATCAAACCAACCTCAGAAAGGCTCCCGGCACCAATGCAATGCGCGTGCCAAACAGTCCACTCCTAAGCAATCAGATATCGTGGACCCTCTGAGAGTTTGACTGTCATAAGGATTCCTACCAAGGGAAGCAGGACCATGACCCACAGGAGTGTTGATACAGACCCAAAACATATTTACGTCTGCTGTTGATCGTCCTTCAAACCAACCCCTTTCCCAAGAACGGCAACCTTAAAAACGCACAAGCAGATTATATATATATATATATATGTACACATGTGTGTGTGTGCCATGGTCAAATGACCTTCACGCTTGGTGTTATGAAACACCCACATGCGCGAGCTTCGAGATGCCAGGCTTCAGAGCTTTGTGCCTTGGGGCATGGTGAGCTACTCCGGGAGCTGGCGGCACCAAGGCGTGGATCGATCCAGGAAAAAACGACGGCGAAACAAATGGAGGGTGTTTTTCGAGAGTACTCCATTAAGTGAAACCACCCATGTTGTGGGGTCCATCTATCTCGAAGAACCAAACTGGCCGCCTGTTGTTTTTGCTGATGAAGGATTTTAGCTTCGGGGGAGCTGGCAAAAGGTGCGCAAAGGCGCTTGTGTGATGCATTGTGCGCCATGAAGGCTCGCCTCTGGCTAAGGCCCCGCAGTTTGACACAGGCGAAGCCACTTGGCGCAGGCGAGCTAAAAGCAACTTGCTAGCTGAAGCCATTCCGCGAAGCCTTCGTCTCGCGAAGGCACCCTTTCCACAAGTTCTGGCCCCGAACCCAGCGTAGGCTCCCCAGCAGTGTATAAGCCGCGAGCCACTTAAAAAGCAATGCTCATCATGTGGTTTCCATTGTGGTTGCTTGCAGTGTGATTTGCAGGCCAAACTTACTTCGAAGCTTTCTGCGGACTCCCATTGTGGTTTTTTCCATTGTGCCCTCAAGCAGAAGAACAACCATTGGTCTAGTCTCCGCGTTTTTGCCTAAACATCTCAACAGACAAGGGGCGGGGGAAGGGGAGGAGAGGCTTTGGCCGAGAAGACTTGGGATGACGTAGCCAGTCAGCCCCCCGGCTACACAGTCCCCACTGTTTTTTGCCCATGCATTCTGTAGGGATTGAAGACCATTTTGTGATATGTGTGGAAACCAGGGGCACTTTTTGGAAGATCTTGAAGAAAGCAGCACAAGAGAGAGAGAGAGAGAGACAAACAGAGAGATCATGTGAAGGATAGACGTCTTGTTTTGTTGCCGACCTGTGGGATGATTGTACAGTAGATGGCGAACGAAATTGAAAGAGCCGTGCAACCCAACTAGCTGCCACCTTGGATCTACACGGCTTCTTTGCGGGAGACAACACCAGCTTACTTGGATGACTGCCGTTGTTCGATGTCTGACTGAGCTGAGAATGGGCAAGGTATCTTTCCGTGGCTTGACTTACAGGCTTCTGGTTTGGGTTCCCAAGTTTGACCCATCGAAGAGAATCACTCAGTGAAAAACAATCAGCCCTCAAAGCGGTAGTGGGGAGGGGGAGGGAACACACCATAAACCTAAACATATCTATCGCTGTTCCATCATGTTTCAAACTGCCCACGGATGCTGGAATGACATTGCAACAAGCAGTGGCCATTCATTTGATTGATTCGGGCGATGAGGGGCAGTCTTTCTTCATGGTCTGAGGCTTAGTAGCCTGGCAGTCAAGGTGAGCAGGATCTGCTCTCCGTCCGTGGATTGGACACAGAAACGCACGGGCCCCCTAAACAAGTTGGGTGTCAACCAAAACAAGGGTCACACCAAAAGTGTGGGAAAACAATGCAGTTGCACCGGTGTGACTGCTCGCCGCGTTGCAGGACCTAGCCAAGAGGAGGACCGCATTTGGGAAGTAATCTTGGGCGGTCGCGTCAATGGGGGGCCGGCCTTCATGCGGCTTGTCAGGTTTTGTGGGGCCAAAAGGGAATACCTTTTAAACGATGGTTTCTCAGGACTTGTGCCTCTGAGTTGACAATGACAACACTCAGTTTGCTCCAGCCGAAGCTGTCACTCAGAATGCAAGATGGAGTTTGATCAGATCAGTTCTGCATTTTTGCCGGCTGATGCCAGCTTTTCAGGAGGGCCCTTGGTGGGAAGCACCGGAGCCCAGGACAGGGTGAGAGGGCGAGAGGTGCTACAAGATAAGCCTTGCAAATAAGGTCGCCGTTGGCTTCCTTTGGACTGTCCTGTAGAGAGGATTCGGAGCACTAGGATTCTATAGCTTCAATGCGGGGGAGTGACTGTAGATTCGACCAAAAATGAGGAAACGGTAAACGGAATGATATGGTTTCATTTGTGCCTCTCCATGTTGATTTCCTCTTCCTGTATTCCGAGCTTTGTCCTTTTTATGACTTTATGAATGTCCGTTCTTGATGAAAGTTAGGGAACAAGGGTGTGTTTGCACGTTTGTGCTACTAGGATTTTGTCCCCCTTTAGGCCAGGAATCAATCAGGCACGGAAGTGGGCAATTCCGATAACCCTAATCAATTTAGACAAAGAATACCAGCGTAAAGACAAGTGTAGCTTTAGGAGCTGTTTACGAAGAAGATCGATGCGGCAAAGACAAACTCATTACGTAAGTGGAGTGTAAAGGAACATCGATGTTAGATGTAAAGAACATGAAGCAGGAAAAGCAAGATCAAGTTGACCCGACTGCCCAACAATGTTGCGACTTGTGTGGTTCTCTGCCATCCAGCAAAGGGCGCGCGCACACACACAAGCAGCCGCACACTCAAGCATGCAGGCACATACACACGCATGCACGCACGCAAGTGCACCCGCAATCGCACGCGCACCCCGCAGTACACATTCATACGCACACGCAAACACGCAGGTGCGGAAGCTCGAGTGTCTTGTGCACACCAACCTAGCACAAGCCCTCTATGTCATTTCCAGATCCTCTGTATTTGGGCATAGTTGGGTGTTTTACTATAAGGGATGGTAATGCAACGTTGCGAGGACCCGAAATCTTTGGCCTGCCGCTGGTCTTTTAGCGAGTGCACCCAAGGGATTAATGTTCCAACTTCTGCAACTACATGCCAGTTGTATCACGTCTCAATCATTGCAAGGCCAAGCGGACACTGCAGCGCGCAATGCTTGTGTGAACACGGGGTATTCTTAAGCAAGGTGACGTTGCTCGCATCATATCCTTAAAGGGCACGCAGTATGTGGCCATTGCATTGGCGGGGTTACATAAGCTCTTGCTGATTCGGCGCAGCCCAACTGTTTATCCATGTCAAATGCTGTCCTGGGCTGAGAAGTATTGGTGAACTTGAATCGGTCACAGTATGCTACTTGTCCGAGGGATGTCATTCAAGTGGGAGGAAGCGTGCTGTTGGGTTTAGTTTTGTTACATGATTCTGCTTGCACAGGGCGCATCTTGTGAGCTTGATTGTGCCCTGCGAGCACAGGTGTTTTTGTTTGCTTCCTCTCAGGGAAGGCCTTTGTGAAGCGCTTTGAGGAGCTTGCGTTGCCATCCATTTGTCAGCTTGTTGCAAGGCTTGCCCCGTAAGATTGTGCGTTCTGGCAAAGAGTTGATGGCGGTAGCTTTGGTTATCCACCTGTTCAATGGCACCAAGTTTCCATTTTTCAGTCCACTCAACGCAAATGCAGCAGTAAGTCTGAGTCTAGACAAAAAACCTCTCTCTTAGGTTTGTTTGCTCGCAGGCCTCTCGAACACCATATAGTGGTTCGAAGCTTTTGTTGGGGATTCTCCGATTGGGGGCTTGTCAAGACGGCGCATGGGAGCGACTCCACTCCACCAGGGAAGAGTCGGCACCTGGCTTCGCCTTCCCTCCCTTCTTCAATGCACAGCACCTCGGTGAAAAATTAGGCCCGGCACTGGGGCTCGAGGGACCATATGTTTGACATGTGACACATGTCCGGAAGGCAAGTCTATCAAAGGCAAGTCGGACTTTGTGGCAGTGATTAGATGTGTATTGCTTTGTCGACAGTATTGGCACACTCATGTTGGAAGCATTTGTCTGCCACAAACCAACCCTCAGATTCTATCTTGGGAAGCGTTCGGGTTGAAATTCTCTGGGCTCACTAGTTTGTTTGTGCTTTGATTTTCATAGGAGTGCAGAGCTCACAAAGTGTGGAGGTTTTGCCCAGGATTCTCAGGGGTTCCCTGGCGTGCGACTGTGACGCACAGTTTTTTCTAGGAGGAAGTTCAATTGGAAATGTTAGCAACAAAGCGGTTGAACGGCAATTTCCACGGCAATTATCGTTCTCAGAGCTGCCATTTCAGGGCCACTTCCACGCATGTCCAGGAGTAGCAGGTCAATGTACGCCTGTCTTTCTGATCAATTTTTAGACATGTTTTCCAGGGATCAATCCAGAAACACATTGCTCAATGACCCCGCAGTATGGACTATAGATTCTATAGGTAGTGGGCTCTTGGGTATTGATGTCCTTTGCATGTTAACATGTTCGTGAAGCAAGGCACCAGCTTTTGTTCTTTTTTATGATTGCTCCTCATTGCAGACAGCCCAAACACAGACAGGCCAGGTGATATTATTGCCCTTGCTTCCCGCTTCAATCCGGGGCATAAGCATGTTTGGCTATTAACTAAAAGTGCTTCGCATCTTGGCAATGGTGGCCCCAGACTGCCATGCTCGGGCCAGGTGCGGAGACCAGTAGTCACTTAGACGTGTACAAAGCTAGCTTCTTTCCGCTTGGTTGTCCGACTTCTTCCCTGGCCTGGCATGCTGCGACAAGGCAAATCATCAGTTCCTTGGTTCCCAGGTCTTTTGGAGAAGTGAACCGAAGGATGATCTGTTGAAGGTGGCAGCCCCCCAGGCTCATTCCCCTCCCCTTTCCGGTTGAAGGATAGCCTCCCACCTCAGAAGGTCCAAATTTTTAGAGGAGACCGGTCTTCCAGAAACCCCCCGTTCTTCCGTAGCGGGTGGAAGGGTAGAAGGCCTGCAATCCCTGGGCATGCGTTGCATCTCACGTCTCTGAAAGCCACAAGCTTGTGTCCGCGGTGCATAACTAAGTTGGCTTCTGATAAGCACAACGTTTGCATTGCGCCCATGCCGAGGACCGCTCCTTATCCCTTGGCCAAGGCGGCGTATTGGTATGAGTTCGGTGAGTTCGTGCAGCTCGACTGGAGTGGGATGGGCGTTGGACAATGGATTGCAATAATTTTCACAGTTCGTGACACCAGCGATTACCCTGCTACACAGGTGTCTAGCAGCGATCATTTGTGTATGCCGCATTTAGTCCTGCACGGCGGTCAGCAGAGCAAGTGCGACTCAATGACCTCACATGTCCTTTGCTTTCTGGGATCTGATTCGCCTCCAATGCATCAAATCCTTGCCAGACCACACGAGTTCACAGCGATCTCTGAGGTCATACCCTGGTGTGCAGGACGGGCACACATTGCAAGGGGAGTAGCAGCTCTGCCTGTTTGGTGGTACACGGCAATCCAGCTTGTATTTCAGTTCTGGGGCCAAGCTCCCCCAAACGTTACAGGTTGAGCTGGCGGGTCCCGTTTAGTCTTGGATTTGAAGGGTTGTCAACGTTTGGCCTTTTTTCAACCCTAATACCAGCGCCTCCCAAGGTGCCGCCTTTTATCCCAAAAAGGGTTCCTAATTTTGATGGCCCTCCATGTGCATCCGTTTGCCACTTCTCGCTTCTGGCATGGTGAAACGGGAGCTTGCTGGCTGGCAGCGAACTGGGACCGGTGCCAGCAACACGTCTCTCCATGGAGAGCAAATCGCAGGGGGCCCAGTCAAGAAAGACGTTCTTGTGATGCTGAAAACTCTGAAATCTCTGAGGCTCCGATGTGGCAATAGTTAGCCCCAGGACGTTTGGGTTGGTTTTGGTGGTCAGTGGTCAGGCGCAGCAAAAGCGCAGAATTATCCTTTCTACTCAACTATATGGAGTTATGACCATGATATCTCCCCCTTTTGCTTTGGGCTGTTTGGGGGTAGTGGAAGCTCTCAATCGGAGAACCTGACAGGAGTTCACCTCCATGCCAGAGCTGCTGCTGAGCCTGGAGACGGAGCAACTGCTCGAGATCTCCGCGGAGATGAGGAGTGAAGTTGAATCCTTTGATTAGTGTCACGGTGTGAAGTTGAATCCTTTGATTATTGTCACGGTGTTTTTAGAGGGTATTCTTTGTTGGGTGATATTAAAGGGAAACCAACCAAAAAGCGCCACTTTGGGGCGCCCTACTTTGACACTGTGACACGTACCCATAGCGTGTTGGCCCAAGAGACAGCGATGTGTTCAGTGGGACACGAGTTTATATATATATATATATATGTTGTGCCAACAGTATTTGGAATGCACTTTATTGTAAGCGCCCCGGCCAGGCGCCAAAGAACTGCAAGGGCAATGCGGGCTTGAGATCATGATCCTAACGGCCCTTTCTGTCTCCATGGTTCATGGGCACCAAAGCGGCGTCAACAGGATCGCTTTGCGCCAGCAGTCAGCTTTGCGTTGTTAACCCTAAATTTGGTATTGACGAGACGCAATGATAGATTTTCAGTCGTCGCTGTTGATATGATTTAAGTGTAGATCCCAGCACTTGCTCTGTAATTTCGTCGACACCGCTTCAAGTGTATTGCCTGTAGCCTCTGGGCTGGAACGGCTTGCGTGAACCACTCTTACCAAGGCGAAGGCTTTGATTTCGGAATCCTACCCGCCCACCCCAGATTGCAGAGGGTCACGGGCTCTCGCGGGGCACCCCCTTTGTGTGACTGTTTGGCCGAACGGACTTTATGAACAAATTATGGGTTGGAGGCCTCTTCAAAAACAGGGATGCCTAGATCTAAGGCCTTGAGCTAGGACTGGCTACGGTAAAACACATTAATAGCAAAAGGCCACGGCTTTGATCTGGTGTGTGTTGTTTTTTCCCTGGATATTCTCTTTGGACAACACTCTCCGTAAAGTGGCCCAAAGCTGCCCTGGGTTCTGAATTGGGGCAAATGGGCAAACGCTTTCTATACCAGCGACGGTATGTATCAAACTGGGCCCAACGTGATGTTGGAATAAGGGAGGAGAGTTTGAGCAAATGACCCCCTTACAGGAATGTCATTCATTAGTACCATTGACTCAGGCACTTCCAGGGTTCAAGTTTCTCGTGGTTTGGGTCAACTACCTGGTTTAAAGATCAACGGAGTAACCCCAGCATTGTGACCAGTCCACAGGCGGGCAGACGACCTCTTGATTTTTTCGTTGGTCTTGGGGTCCGAAAAGGTAATCCTTTGGGCTCTAGCCGCACGTCAGAAGCGAACATGAGGGGCTCCAAAATTATACATCCATGATCATGGGTTAACATGATTTAGTTCGGCACAGCTCATTCCAACTATTGAGGCCTATCCGGGGCTTTTTGGAAACCTCATTTGCCAAAAGTGGATGGGGTGATTAGTTATTTTGCCCGGCGTACCACGGCGTGGGGGGTTGCGGTCCGTCGCTCGCAGGCGCTTCCGTGCGCGGTTGTGGCGCAAGACGCGGGCAGTGTATGCTGCGGCTGGGGGCGCCTGAGGAGTCGGTCATTGGGGGTTTTGGTCGTTTTCTATTTTCCGGTTCCTCCAAAGTATAAAGCACCCTCTAAAACGTGCCGGTCGCTACTTTGGATGGACAAAATCCGCTTTGTGTGGTAGTTGGCTTATCCCAGGAAAAGTAGTGTTGATCCATCCAGAGTGGCGCAGATGTGTTTTCATCAACAGCAAAAGGATATCAAGTCGAGCAAAGATCTCGGAAAGTTCTGCATTGGATTATTTGCACGGGTCTGCTTGTTTATGGCGAGCTCACCGGAGAGTCTCTATGATGTTTGTATTTTGCTTGACTTGGGGATCTCCTTTTTTAGGTGTTGGACACATTGTAGAAGCGGATGTATTCCAATAAGACCTGCCAGGCTTTGCTGCTTTGCTGGTGCTTGCAGTAAGTGCCCCAGTTATCCTGCACTAAAATGATAAGATAAACAAGTGTGCTCCGAAGATCAAAGTTTGGGACGCCTGACGATGCTTCCCTCCGTTGGCTTCGATCAAGCACACGTTGCAGCAATACCATCAGCTGTCCCTTCGACGCCGTTGCTCTTTTCAGGCAGATGAAGCTTTGTGTGTTGCCCTTCGTGAATCTTAGCTTTGGAAGTTGGCGGCCTTTCAGAGTGAAGGACAATCATCCGATTTCAGTAAGCAGGTGATATTTCGTCAGGATGCCTGGTTTGGGCTGGACCGGTTTGCCAAGTCATAGACTCCGGTCGAAGGCGAGCCGACCACTTTCTTTAGTTTTACCGGGTCCAGTAACATATCCTCAAGTTTCCCAAGCTAAATGCTGGATTCGAGGGAAACGACCGAGACCCAAGTCATGTTGAAAACCCGCATAGCCACTTGAAGGAAATTTACATTGGTTTCATTGTTTGCAACATTGCGTGGTGTCCTCGTCAGGGAGACACTCTTCTGCAAAGGGTGTTCAAGAAAAGGCATTCGATGCCCTAGATCATCTGAGATTTGGTGCTTTCTGTGCAATGTGGTGCAGGGAGCTTGTTGCGTCTTTGCTTCCCCTCAGGTTTGAGAGATGTCCCCCACGAGTCTAACTTAGTTGCGAATAATTCACGGGCACAGCAGAGATCACGTTGGTGTGTAGATTTCGTACAGCAAAACTCTCGGGCAACATTTCCCACTGATTGGGGACTTTTCGAACCTTTGTCAGGTTTTTCCTCAACCATAACCATAGGAGCCAAGAGACTGCACCTTCCGGAATTTTTAAACTCCCTCCCTCCAAAAGCCCTCAAATGCCGAAACGTCGCAACTGTTTCTGGAGTTCACGAAGGTCTGCGTTGGCCCTTTGTTTTCTTGTTGAGGCTTTTTCGGCATGTTTAAATGTTAAGGGTTGGGGGCCGAGGCCGCCAGTGAGCTGGCAGAGATGGCGACGAAAAGGTCGCCTCAGCGCTGGGGGGGGGGGGAGGTGGGCTAGGCTGGGCTTTGGTTTGGCTGGGGTGGGCTGGGGTAGGGTGGGTTGTACGGGATTGAAAGGCTTGCTGGAATGCTAGAACATGCATTTGCATTCCAAGCCACGCAATTCCTGTGCAACTCTCCACGCTTGCGCAAGTTACTGAGAGTGAACAGATTTGGCTTGGTCCGGCTGCAAGTTTAGGTCGCCAGCTCCCGACAGATCAAGATGTATGGCAGGAACCAGGAGATTGCTACGCATTAAAAGTTGTTCTTCCACACATCTGCCTGAAGGCTGTACAAGGCAAGCGGAAGCTTGCAAAACCTCCGCATTTGCAGCCACCTGTGTTGCGCCATGCGGCAGAGACACGGCAGCATTGGTGTCAGGCCCAGAAAACCAGCGACCCAATGACGCCACAGACGGCCCGAGCGAAACGTATTAAGATGTTGGATGAGCTATCGTCAAATTTAGCAAATCACACTGTGCGAAACAGGTATGAGTTGTTTCTCGATATATGTATATATAGATACGTACACATGTGCTTGTGTGTGTGTGTGCGTGCTGTGTATGCGCATAATATGAGTGAACCACAGAAGTATGGATGCGCACATGAGCGCTTTAACGTACAGGCTTGGTTGTGCCAAAGCGCTGTCAAGCATGCGTAGCCGTATGGGAACACCGCGTAAAACGAGACCGATTGGTTTTATGTGGCTTTTGTCCTGAATGATCGGAAGGTTACATTGAAAAGATCTCTGGCGTCAAGGAAGGTTGTCTCTGACTGCGTGTGTTGGGGAATGGCACGGGGCCGATAGAGCATTGACGTGACGTTTCGCACGTTTATGTTTGGCAGCACGGCATTTCTTACATGGTCTTGTTGCTTTACGACCGTTTGCCTATTCCACGGATACCGGGCCGATACACAACCGACACCCTGATGGATTCCGCGTGGCACTTGCCCATCTGAACGGAGCTTTTGTTTGACAGTATATTTGTTTGGTATTCAGAAAACTCCATGCTGCAAGCCGGGTTGCGTTTGTATTGAGAGTATGTTGACATTGAACTCGTCGTAAATCCGTTTTCGGCACATGTTGGAATACCTATAGCTCAAATGGGGGGGCAGGGGAGGAGGTTTGCCGATTCTCTCGAATTTCAGCAGACCCATTTTGAGGAAAACGTCACACCTAAAAGACAAGATATAAAACTCTGGGATGGAGTTCCCGAATGTGCCCAAACCTGCTCAGGAGACGACCCGTTCCTGAAGTCGAAGGCTGGCCCTGGCGACCCCGTCCGCAAGGGTTTGGATACAATTGGATAGTTCGTTGCGTTGCACGGCTTGTGTCTTTTGCGAGCAAAGGAAGCATGGCGGTTTTTCTATTCCGTGTTTTTGTCGCATACAGCTGCTTAGCTGTGGCCTGAAGCAATGGGTTCATGACTGCAACCGGCAGATGGCAGCGCTGGGCTGGATTGTTGGCCCGTGGATGGGGTGGGAAGGGAAGATGACGGAAGAAGACTACCGACACGCCAAACATCCCCGCACAAGAATTCCCAAATAAGAGCAAGTTACGTTTCCTAGTCAGAACAAGCAGGAGCCTTGAGGCTTGACGAAGTGAAGGGTCATCAAGGCAAAACCAGTCAGCCAAGCTGTTTTTCCTCATTTTCAAACACCACCCGGGGTGAATACCCCCCGTAGCAGTGTGACTGACAGAAAGACGTTCCTGCAGAGGCCCCTCAGGTTCCAGGTTGGCGGATGGGATGGTAGTGGTTGACGTGCTTTTGTTTTGGGCAGCCACGCTTTTTCGCTTGCCAGGCACTGGCAACTACGAAGATGACCCACAAGAAAAACGTCGAAGGGCCAAGCAGCAGGAACAGGAGGCCAGTATCAACCTGCCAAAAGCTTTGGCTACAATGACAGTGATATTGTGGACGATTGCATCGGGGCAATCAGAGGTTTTTTGTTTCAGCTTGCTGCCCCCAGTACGAGGCGCCTGAGCATTGCATGTGGACGGAGTGCGGTTGCTTCGCGTTGCCCGCCTGGGCCAAGGGCTGACCTTTCCAGGGGCATTTGACGAGTTTCTGGGATCGGGAGTTGGGCCGTTTTTGAGGGGGCTTTCTTTGCCTGGATTCTAGAGGGGAATTTGACCGGTTTGTGGGGGGGGGGGGGGGAATTTGACAGTTTCTAGCGGAATTTGACCGGAGTTGGACCGATTAGACTGGTTTCTGGCCCGGTTTCTCGGGGGGATTTGACCTGAAGGGAAGTGAACAAACAACAACTATACTTGGCGGTAGGAGTCAAGTCGCGTCCGCTTGTGTAAAGTCACATTGTTCGCGCGTGGCCGGAGGGGAAAGCACGCAACCGGCCCAACTGCGTGCGTCGAGTGGGGCCCCATCGAATCAGCGAGGCCGTTGGGTGTTTGTTGTTCCTTCTGCTTAACTTCAAGAAGTTCGAGCCACGTCCGCGAGTTACCATTGCCTCAGAGGCTTACTGAGTCCTTGGGGTTACAGCCCTTGTCGTGAAACAAACTTACGTTATTCTTCCTTTTCAACACGAGTCTCAGCCGCCTTGTCTGGCCACTGACGTGCGTGCCCGGACTCCCGTTCCATTGCCTGAGAAGAGTTCTAACTAAGAACGGAAAATGAGACACTAAGAGCGGAAAAGATGGATACTAAGAGCGGAAAAGAGGGATACTAAGAGCGGAAAAAGTAATAGTTCTAGTAATAGTTTTCCGCTCTTATTTCGCGCTCTCATTGCCTGAGCGCCAGGCTGAGAACCTTGCTCATGGGAGCAAAGAGCCAGTTAAGGCCAGTTATGCAAACAGCCAGTTTGACGGCAGAGCGCAAACGTATACTTTGGAGGCGGGTTGCCAATGTGATTCGCGTTCGAACTCAAAATTTGATGACCGGAAAACTGGCGTGACTGGTGAGGAAGCACACAAGAAGTCATCAACTGTTCGCTGTAGCGTGGGACGCAGGCAGCCTGTTTTGCTGCAGAACGCGCATTTCTCTGTGGCTGTTTTCTTGGAATGTGTTTGGGCGGCAGGGGGAACTTGTGAGGAGATTGCCGGGAGCCTTGTAGCACTGGGACATACTCCAGTTGAATTTCAGGGAACTGTCTGAGAAGCCGATTACCCGCTAAAAACTAAATATCAGGCGTCTGAGAACTCAAGGGAAGACGGCCGGTTTTTTGAAAGGAACGATTGTGGAAAAGAAGGGGAACCAACCCCTAGAATGAAGGTTTGCAAAGAGTGCAGCGATCCAACGATGGCAGATGGCGCCCTACATTTTGGGCCTGGTGATCTTCATTGCTGCGTCTGTGGTGGGAATGCTGCTGTGGTACCTTGGCAGAAAGGTCGAGTCAAGTATCCAAGGCATACCTTTTTGGGTCGAGAACACAAGGACCTCTCAAAGCCTTCCCAAAGGCACCAACACCCGCGCGCTGAACACTTTGCTCCTTTCGACATGCCTAAGGACAAAAGACAATGGAGATGGACTTGATAAATAAAGGGCCCTTCGCAGGATCCATGGTCCAGCAGACGCCCGCATGCAAATGACTCCTGAACTCCTGGAGACCTTGGAGTTTCTGAACCAATTGGATAGACAGGCGACACCCGGGAGAGTGCACTTCAAACATGAAATGAAACAGCCAGTTCTGGAGGGCAAACTAATGTCCCAGGGAAGGCCCGAGGCAAGGAATGCTTATGGACTTGCTTGAGGAACGCTCGGGACAAAGCAAGAACCCGCCCGAAGCGCTAGAAAGAAATGCTCAAAGCTCTTGGGGTTTCTCATCATAGAACTCGGTCCCCTCAAATGGTTGGTTTCCTTCTGCCTCCCCTCAAATACCAGTCAAGAGGAGGTCGTTTCCCAGAAGGTCCTTGTGCACGAGTGATTTCCACACAAGAAGCCCTTGCAGAAAACCCAAACCACATGGTTGATATTGCCCATGTTGCCTTGCAGGTACCTTTCTTTGGCAAATAGGTTGTTGTTCAGACAAATTGAAGCCCAACTGAGTCCACATTTTCAGGAAAGAGGAAATGTGTCCGTGGGGAGACAAGTATGACTGAGCAGAAATAGTCATGAATTCTGGAAAATACGGCGTTTGACACGTATAATTAGCAACCTTTGAAGTTATAATTTGTTCGTTTGACAACGGGCTGGACAGACGGCTTGGTAGGGCATTCCAGGCAAGGATTGCTACGCCGTGAACAGCACTGCCCGACTTGTCACCCGCCTTGAAAACACGCTGCTTGTCTAAGAGAGGTTTGACAATTCAAAACATGCACTTTCTCAATGTCACCTCACCTTCTACGCAGAAGCCATTTAGTGGTTATTTACCACATTTTCGCTGGGGTGATGGTTTGGGACGTGAACATCCTCCAACACCTTTGGAGGGGCCCCCCCCCTCACTCCGCCGGGTTGCTGACAGGTGGAACCCTCATATCGAGTTCCACAAAGCACCAGCCACCAAGAGAGACATGTCGAAGAACGAGGCGCAAGCGGGCCAGCGGGCCAGTGGAAGGCGTGTCTTTTAAGGATAGCCTTCAACTTGTTTTAGAGGGAGCCAAAGGAAAATTGTGCGATTTTGCGGAGTTCCCCCTTTTGGGGCAAACTCCTAGAACATCAGAGAAGGATTTTTCAAGATTAGGACATTCCCCGACAAGTGATCAAGATTCCGGTACACCCCCGCTGTTGATGATGTGCAGGGGTTTGTCAATCCTAGGGTCCCAGTATGTTCAAAATAAGTTGGGCCATGTAAAAAAGCAAACAAACAAGAAACTAAGCATTTTGAAGGATCCCTGGGTCTCACACGCAGCCAGTTCCGGCAGGATACAATATTTTATCAGATTTTGGCGAAATGGTGGGATGGTGCTGGGCCCAACTATCATGAGCTAAACATGGTGAATGCTGGACGGGTTGCTCAAGAAATCTGACCCATGTGAGTTTGCGCTGCTTGGCAAACAACAACGTGCCTTGGTAAGAGGTCCGGTGACCTCCACCAAACACTTGTTGTCTTCCAAGTGCCTGATGCATACTCTCTTTAAGTTGTCCTTTCATTTGCTCTGTAACCCAATTCCACAGCGCAGCTGGGGCCCCACTTTCATCTTCGGCCAAAACTCTGAAAGCACATTTTCGGGGGGAGCCTATGCCAACTGAGCGCGTCTTGAAAACTAAGCAATCCCTTCTGTCCTGCTCAGGCCTAATCTATTCGGGGGCTCTCCAAGAAGTTATGAAGTGTACTAATTCATTGCGAATCTTACATTGCCAATTGCGGCTTTGAACTGCAAAGAGACATGCCCTCACCAATGCAGGGTCTCCAAAGCTATCTCATGTTCTAGGACAGACTAATTAGTAGTAGATTGGGTATTGAACAGCTTGTTTTTGGGTAGCCCAGATGTGGACCAAGAATTTGTTTAAATGTTGCAAATAGAATCGGCAGAGGCGGGACCAAACATTTGGACAATAGGAATCATGCATGAACGTGCAGGATCTGGGAACAGTTTGTTCTTCATGATTCATGTTTCTTTGGAGTAGCAGATGTGGTTCTCGGAAGGAACAACCAATCCTTACACTCTCCCATGTGTATTATCGTCTTAGTTCTTGCCGAGTACTTTGGCAAGTGAAAAGGGCAAGCTTGGCCAAAACACGAAGCTGCAACGCACTGGGAGTGCAGCTTCAAGCAATATCCTTCATTCGGTCACTCAAAACAGTCACGTTTCCTGTGGTTGTAGGGGGGTATCTCCTGAACTTGGCGGCCCCCCTTTTCGGGCCTCCGCATTGTTTTGAGAGTATAGGGTGAAGGTCATGGAGAACGCCTGCAACATGGGGTCGAGTCTCTGAGGACGTGGAGGAAAGTAAGCTTTCCCCATGGCAAGTGCCAATACCTGGGCCATCCTGTCCTGAGCCCAGGTGTTTTGTTTGTTCCCAGGGTTAGTGCACTGGGACTGTTCCCTTGAAACAAAACCTACCAGTCTAACCGGCTTCAAAAAGGCTGACCCTCATGATTTGAGGCCTGGGCTACGGCAGGCCGAAGTTCCTCAAGGACCCCAAAGAACACGCTCATTTACGAGAGCCCACAACATGACATGTAAGACTGCTCCCTTTCGCGAGTCGCACGTTAGGCACATTTGGGGGGTTGCCACTTGTTTTCCTTTGGCAGAAAGCTGGGTTTTCGGATTTGTTCAGCGAGGGGGTTGTTTTGATGTGGGATCGGAAATTGGCCTCATAAGGTCTGTATAGCAAACACCAATGTCCACCATGGATTCTCGAAAGGGCCGGGGGGGTGCCTTTACAAGGGTTCCCTCGTTTCGTTGATTTTAAAGGCAAACAAAAACCATATCCACCGAAACCCACATGTCAGCCGGTAGAACGATTTCTTTCACAGGTGCACGCGCACCTGAGAAACCACAGCATCCTGCACGTGGGCGGCCTGTGGGAGTCTCGGAAACTTTTGAGCAAGAGGCTAAACTCTCTCATCTAGAGATATGTCTTCGGTGACTTGGCGAAACCCCGAGACAAGTGCCAGAAATCTTCAGGAACGATATGGTGAAACCCAACAAACTATTAACTTCCCAATCGAAAGGTTTTTCCGCTCGCTCATTTGGAAAAAAAAACAAACTATTGCCGTGTGGTTGGATTTGCAGCCTTCAAGGACCTTTTTCGATGATTTGTTTCTCTCACTAAGCAAGACATCAAAGCTTTTTGCACAGGCTGCAGTAGCCGCCAAGGTAAGGCAGATATTTGGAGACCCGAGACGCAGGGCTCGTGGAAACTTGTCGGTTGTTGCGATGTAGGTGGGGCCCTTCGCGGAGGATCAGGGGAAGATTTCAATCCGCGGGTGAGCCAAGCAAATGAGTCCGTCCCGGAATCCCCTTACAAGAAAGTCTTTCTTCAGTTTCTTCATTTGGAGGAGACAAGTTTGACGCAGCTTTCATTTGGTTGTCGGGAGGCAAAGCGAATTGGCCTGTTGATCTTTGGGCGAAGCTTTTTCCAGTGGGCTTTTCGATGAGTGAGTAGATATGTGACATGTGGATGTCTGTTCGGTTTTCCATGGATCCCAAATATATTTTTTCCCCGGGCTTCTGCATTTGATGATAGTGCTTGCAATTTCATACTCTTTCATGTGGCGAAGCAGCTGCAGCTTGCTGTGACTTCGGAGCCATTCCTCAAGACCCTCGGGTTGATCTTCTTTTTTCCGTCACCCGGAGTATGCCCGCAGCAATAGGAATTGACCTGAATTGACACATTCATTCAGACAGGACATTCTTTGTAGCCCTAGTCAAATTCAGCGTGGGCACAGTCAGCCCTGAATGTGTGTTGCATCAACGGCTACGCCAACCTGGGAATCACCACAGCCCCCTATTGTTGGATTTCTTGCGGTGGCAAGCTTTGCTTCTTTTCATGAGCGGCTCTCAATAAGTTACTTCCAGGTCCCAGTTTCCCTTGAAACGAACATCATCTTTCTTAGGTTTTGCATCGACCGACCCTGTTGAAGGTTTTCCTCGGAGGCCACTCCGAGTAAGGCACCACAGCGGGCTGACGCTCACGGCAGAGCTGCTGAATCGGCACCCCGATGTCGCCAGCACCTCAACGACGTTTTTTGTTTTTTCTCAACGGGGAAACCAAAGGAAAAGAGGAGTTGTCCGGTCTTCAATATAATATAGGTCTGTCTCAAAATAGGGAACCCTTTTTCCGCACCTTCAGACATTACAAGTAGGACGGAATCTAAAGGACCCTTCCTTGAAAGGGGTGTGCTTGCAACAGTAATCCTCATCGGGTCCTCATTTCATTTTGGAAGGCCATGTTTGTGGTCGATTACTACTCAACTTGGTCTGGTCCGCTTTCTGCTTGGTGCAAGGGTGCGGTTCGCCGGTTGGCAACTCAGATCCAACACCATCCGCTGTTTGAGCGTCTGTCCAAGTTGAACCAATCTTTGCTATCTTTCCTGCCTGATGTTTTGTATTCGAGATGCCTCCTTTTGCATTCACCCAGCTGAGTTGCAGCAGTGCCAGACTTGCTTTCAGCAGCTTTGGCGGCGAAGTTGCCCAAGGACGCAACGAGACATGCGCGACTGCGTGGTGGTTTTGCAAAGAGGCCTCCCTCTCAGCCGTCAGCCAGCCCTGTCCCGCGGTGACCGCCTGACCCTCAGGCTGGCATGAGGCACCAGGAAGGCGCCGACAAGCGCAAGGCAACCCGCCGGGGATGTTGGTCGACAGAAACGCGAAAACCGACCCGAGCCACTTGAGCTGCTCATTTGTCTGAGGGTATCCCGAATCCAAGGTTGGTTTAAAGCACCCAAAATGGGGGTCTCCGTATTTCAACACACAACCGTTTCAGTACGTGGTTCGGATCCTCCCTGGTTTCATAGGGTGTAGTAAGGAAGATTTACAGCCATCTTCATAAGAAGCAAACGTCAATGGGTTTAAAGGTTTAGGCTGCTGCTCATGTTTTTGGTTGTTCACCCTACGGCGAGTCAAACCCAGGGTGACCCATGGGCGTCAGGCACATTGAAATTGAAGCCTTGTGGCCAGAGAGGCAAGACCTGTTTTGGAAGGGGCCCGAAGAAGGATAATATATTTGGAAAGCTGCTTCTGAAGCAGCCGTTCAAGCGAAATGGATATCAATCTACGCGCGGGGTCCATGTCCTGCACTTTGTTTTTGTCTGATACGACTTTGGATGCAACAATGAGTTTTCATTGGATGTTCCCCGAGCCAAAGCCAGCGGTATCAACTTCGGGGTCGGATCCGGATTCCATCAGCTCTTAAAGGCCTTCTTAACACCAGCAAACTGACAAGCAAAAACCTCAACAGTCCTGTTGCTGATTTCAAATTGGTTCCGAGATGCGCCGCTCAGCATGCAGGTTACTCTCAGAGAGAAGCTTTCTGTGAATGGCTTTGTGTCAAATATTATGCTGGATGAACTTGGTATACGATAAAGACACCTTCCGCCCAAGGCAATCTCATTTGTCCACGCCCACCCAATGCCTATCACTTGGCAAATCTCGGCAGGAATTGGCGCCGCAAGACATGCAAGCTGCTTTCCACAAGTTATGAACAACAGCCAGTGGAGCAAGGGCCAGAAGTGAAGGTTGTGACCAGTACCACGCCCAACAAAGTTGAATGGTTCTCACAGTTACCGCTTTTCCAGATCTTCCAGATTTGTCAGCTGAGGCATCGGGGAAAGTGCTATAGTTCAAACACAAATTAGCAACTGGCATTTAGCCATTGAGAATACGTTTGCCTGCCATAATGAGGGGGGTGTCCATCAAGTCGAGCATGACCATGACCGGCATGGGAGTGTCTACCATGGCTCTTTTGGTTTGGGTCAGCCATGGCACGGACTCGGAGAACAAGCGGACCAAGCGACCATACCCGTCTAGCGGACGGCGGAAGAGAAACTCATGCCACGTGCAGAATACCTGACAGGGAGAGTATCCCATCAACTTTTCTGCAGCTCGGCAGGCTCATTGGGTAAGCGATATTGCCAATGACGGCATCTCCGGCCTGTTTGTTTTTTGTACAGGTTCTGCTTTTGTTGGCTCGCCGAATCTTTTTTTTATTTAGCTTGGGCAGCTGTTTCTTTTCGGGTTGTTTGTTTGCCGTTACAACTCCGTTCGATCATGGCGCGTACAACCGCATGACCGCTTGAAGTTGGAGCTCCGGCGGGGTTAGGCACTGATTTTCTGGGTGCTGAATACTGAATTGTTGAATCAAGAGTAATGCTGTCTTTGCTTTAATAGTGCCCCCCCCTGCTGGGAAAGTGCCAACCAGCGGGGCCTGTTTAGTGGACAATTCGGGGGTGGGGTCGACTTCGACTTGCCGACACTGAATTTAGTATTGCCAAATCGTACTCTCAGATTCCCAGTACTTAATTTAGTGTTGCTCAGGCTTGACCTTTGAGCTGGGAAGAGTTTAGGATGAACCACCCTTTTAAAGTACAAGGCTAAGCTTTTGAGCTGGACATTAACAGTCATTACTTGGTGTGAAGTCTTGCCGCAGATCGCTTTTCGCGAGGCGCCGATCGCTTTTCGCCAGGCGTTTGGCTGCAGACGGTGATCCCCAGCTTTGGCTTGGACCACAAGCAGTTCTTCCTTTGGACTGCAGCCCAGAGGGTGATCTGCCAGGGTGATGAATCTCTGCCTAGTGCCATGTAGTCTGATTTGAAAAGCTGGGCTCAAAACGAGCGACGTGAAGGCGCACTAGTCGGAGATTGTGGTCTTCCGCTTAGTGAATTAGCTACTGAACTGGAGGCCTAGGGCATCGGCTGTGGTTGTGCGAAACAACAAGTGGGTGACTGGCCGTGGGTTCCTGGAGTGTTCTGCTTTCACGCCGAGCACTGCAGATCCGGCCGAAAAGAGCAAAAGGAGCACATATAGTGAAGTATGGTAACTTGCCCAGATCTAACGTAATGGCCAAGCTTCAAACAAATACGCTTTGGCATCCTCTTTCTTCATCGCCCTATTTCTGATTATATTTAGCTGTGTGCGCGCGCGTTTGGCATTGAATTTGTGCACCAATGGATGCTGCGCTCGCAGCTAAGATGGGGCCATTTCCACTCCTTTGACCACCCAGCCTTTGTTGTCCCTTTTCAGAAGCAGCCCCCGCTTATGGTTGGATGGTCATGGGCCGGCGCCCAAACATGTCACTGGATGTGAACCCCGCAGATGGGGTATTTGCCCCGCGGCCTGTACACGAAGTCTGCACTTCCCCGAAGGGAGGTCCATACATGTCCTTTTGGTTGTTTTGGTAGCAAAATAGATGGCCCTGGTTTACCTGGTGGTTTAATCATCAACCAGGGCCATCTATTTCTCCTAAAAGGACACCTATCAGAAGGTCTTGCGCCGCAGGAAGTTTCTGAGCAAGTTCGCGAGAAGGATCTTGCCGGAGGAGACGGTGGAGCCCTGGTTCTGAGCATTGTTCATATAAGCCCCTTCTTGCTTAGTTTTAAAGTGAAACCACAGCTTTTGGGGGGCCGTTTTGGGACACACAACAATATGCCACTATGGCAGGCCCCTGATTTTCCGGCTTTTAGGCCAACACGTCAAACTGAGAGCGGAGGTCAAAGGGGGTGGCAACCAGGGCCCCCTGCCATTGTCCTGCGCACGCCCTTGTTTGGCTCACTGACTCAAATTTCACTGGGACCCCGTCTTGCTTCAAGTGTCACCCTTCACTGCTTTGATCATTTTTGACTCTGGATTCCAAGAAGCATCCACTGGACGGTCATCCGCTGGAAGTTCTCTGAGGGCCACCCAAGGGATGTGTTTCGCGAGCCTCAGACACGTGCGCACATTGGATGCAAGCTTTGGCGTCCAACCTACGAGAGTCACATATACGCTTTTTCAGACAGACGGCACGGAGGAGCCAGAAGTCGAACAGAGGAGCAAAGCACAAGCCTGCAGCCTAAAGATTACGCATGTTTGCCTGTAAAGCTGGATGAGCTTACGCAAACCATTTCATCTCGTCAGGATTGGAGTTTTGTTTGTCCCCCTTGCCGAGTTTAGTCCGTTCCCCTTTAGAGCAGCTTGCAAGCAAGGGCAAGGATTTTCAGAACGATTCCTGTTTCTAACTTGGACGCAACAGACGCCACTACTACTGCACAACAAACACATTACGTGTGGTTCGTGGCTGTAATTTGGACTTATTGAGGCTGGAGCCACTAAGCAGAAAACAAGGTGGTCCTGAAGCAGGCGCATGCTTGAGCGCACTGCATACACCGTTGTTCCCATCTAGCGGGGAATCGTCTTCTGTAGGCGCGCAACTAGTTATTGGTCGCGCCTTCGCTTTTCCTGCCGCGGTGAATTAGAACTTCAACTGTCTAACCTCCAGATGTGGCAATGTGACTAGCCGATTGTCCGTGGACAAACGTTCAGAACAACTTTTTGAGAGCCAGCTACCGTCTTGTCTTCTGCTGCCGCGAAACCTTGCACCTAATCCTAACCGTCCACGTGAGTGCGCAGTGTAAAGCTGCTGCCACATGCGGACCCAAGGTCTGCGCTGCGATAGTTTTCACGCACGATGCCAAGCAGAGAGCATTTGATTGAAGCGATACCTGTGTCCCTCCCTGTAAACTCTTCTAGATAGCTCACTAAAGCGCAGAGAGCTACGTGGCCAGAATCTAGCTCGCGGACGTCTTTCTTCCAAGCGCTAGCGTGTGCCAAAACTGGCGGCGGCGCTCGCGCCACCCGCAGCACAATAACACAACAACTGCGGTAAGCGCATTGTGGTAAATGATGCTGAGCAACAGGTCTGTGCTCTTGTAGAAACATGTTTGCCGCTTTGTATTGTGTCGTCTGCATTCTGCAACAGACGTGTGTTCTGCGTAACTACTTGCAGCCATACACGTTGTTTCCCAGCTGCCACATGTGTGCTTCAAAAAAAAAGGAAAACAACAAAGGCGCATCTTGACGAGCTAGGCAGCTACTTGTTTTCTGCATGTGTCTGGTCCAACCAACCGAAGACTACCTGGCTGACTCATTGACGTTCTGAGGATCGTCATCCCTGGATGAAACTGCCAGGGCGCCACAGTTATCGGATCGAGCCTGCGTTGTGCGAGCCGATGGATCTCGCGGGTGAAACTGGGCATTGCAGACATGTTTTTTTTCTTCCAAGGGTCCGCATCTATTTCCAGTGAGAACTTGGCTTGATCTATTGACAATTCACACAAGTCTCTTGGGTCAAAGCTTCTCGAGAGGAATCGGCTTCAGATTTCATTAGGAGGATATACGCATCTTTTCTAGGATTACTAGTTTCAGCGAGCAGAAAAGCCCAGGGGCAATGGTGGTTGGTGAGAAAATGAATGAAGCAGAACATTCCTACAGAAAGACAGCCGAACACCTACTGATAAGCCAACAAGTAGCAGCGTATTCCCAGAATTCACCAGTTGCTTGGGTGAATGTCCAAGACGTTGATGAATTCTTCGGTCGTAAATTCTGAATAATCTTCACGGCGCCTGGGGCCTAGGGGGGCGGGCCCCCCCACCGCGCCCCGGCGGCCGCGCCTCGAGCCCGAGGCGAAGTGGGCTGGGGCGATTCGCCCTGCACCAGGGACACCACCTGGACGACACCTCCCCGATGATCGTATCCCGGGCGCAGGTCAGACGCAGAAGTTCAGTCTCAGATGTGCACCCTCCAACGAAAACGGGTATAAAAAGGGCAGAAATTTGTGGTTTTTCCTTTGGGCTTCCCTTCGAGCTTTTAACCACCACCCCAAAAAGGTCACCAAAGGTATAATTATGGGTGTGTGTCTGTGCGTGCGTTTTTTTTGAGGGTGCCCCTTTTTCAGCAGGTTTAAAGGGAAAGCGAAAGGAACGGAACCATTCAGCGTGCCCATATTTTGACAAATGCCCAAATGGCCCTTTTCGGCCAAACCAACCCCGGTCAGATTGCACGTTGAGGGTACACCCAGTGGCCGGGAGCAAGCGGTATGTCAATCTGCCAAGTTCTAGTTTGCTGCGCCCGAAAAGCGGAGCACAGCCTGTTGACCGGAATCCCAGTGGTTGAGCCCCTGGTTGATGAATGTGGGGACCCCCTTCGTAGGTGACCCCCCTCATTTTGTGTCTCGGTGTGAGTGTGGGAGTGGGGACACATTGTGCAACTTCGCTGGTGTTAAAGCATGAAGCTAGCCTTTGAACTGATGTGCTTCCACAAGGAAGCTCATGGAGTCAGGCTCCCCAAATTCCCCTCTACGTCGCCCGGAGGAATTACGGCTTTAAAAGAGCATAAAAGGTGATGCGTGGGGTCTTTTGGAATTGGACCCCAAAGGTCTTGCCCTTTAAGTCCGCCTTGGTGGATCCCCTCAAAAAGCCACAAAGTAGAAGAGAGGCAGTACCCTCAGATGTGAGAATGGAGTGGCGATCCGGAGGTCGCTGCCAATTTCGTGATTCGGGATTTAATCACATTTCGGGATTCAATCACATTTTCGGGATTCGGGATGCGGGATGCGGGATTCGGGACTGGGATGGCCCCATCCTCAGATCCGGGATTCGGGGCTCGGGATTCGGGATTCGCGCGCGAATCACATTCTCGACCAGGTTCTCCGGATCACGTCTCTGAATATGAGAAAACAAAGGATTTATGTAGCCAAACCAGGACTAACCTGTTTTCAACCACAGGATTGGCGCAGCGCGGCAACTGTCCTGGCAAGCCTAGTCACATGACATGGACTTGATAGGCATCACCAGCCTACCAAGCAGTTTCACTTAAGACTGGTTTCGCCCATGCATCCGTAGTAGGTGTTGCTTACAGAAGGTGCACGAGCCAATCCAGATTTGAGGTGAAGTCCTTCCTTGCAACACTAGGCACCGCCTTTCGGATCAGATGCGACTCTGCTAGTTGCTGGCCTGGATTTTGATGATATTGTTTTGCATACTAGCTAAGCATGGTTTGCGGAAGTGAAACAAGAAGTCGGACCACAATCAAGTTTGGCGCACGTTGAAATTGGGTAACGAGGTGATAAGACTGGCGATCTGGCTCGCGGCTTGAAGGTGAGCTTGACAGCAGATCAAAGGGGGGGCAACCCATGTTGTACAGCTGCAATTTGGGAAGAGCCTCCAAGAAGCACACGTGAGACCTGAGAGGGGCCCTGCTAGCGGACAGTTGCCGTTTAGGAGATCCCTTTCAGGTTCCATATTTGTCTTTGGGAAGATAATTCTAGTTCTGTTAGTAACATCTAGCATGCGGTGTGGAGCGATGGAAAGGCAGCTTTGGCCTGGCAGCACTTCATTAATCTCAGAACCAATCAATTGATTGATTTGAATAGCTTGGACGTCCAGCTTACGTCACTGCTTTGAAGGAGCATTTGGAAGAGTCAGTGCTTCCTCGTTCCCATGCCGTAGTTGTCACCCAATTTGACAAAAGGCACAGCTGCACCAATGAGCACATCGCATTTGTGCAGATTCACCTCTTCAGCGAGTGGGCACTCTTCTGGGACCTCTCGAAGAAGGCTGGCGCGCCAATGGTGTGCTGATTCTTCTAGAGGACCTACCAAAGATCAGCTCATGTCGGGTTCCTTGTGACAGCCAGGAAGGCCCTGGTGTGTGATGTTTGGCATGAATTGTCACTGGACCCTGCTGCCCCCAAAGCAGGGAGTGGAGTTGACGAATGCGTGCTTGTGTATCTGTTCCTAGGTGCGTGCACAGAAGACACTTAACCGCAACATGGATTGCGTATTCCAGGTCCATGTAACTTGTTGGGCAGAGTTGGGTTAATTAAGTGGAATCCTAAATCAGGTAAGCCTTACTTGGTGCTTTAGGGTGGTTTGGGGATTTGAATGGATTTGAACCTGGTTCTTGTAATGTTGGACCCTCTTTAATGCTCCCCCCCCCCCCCGGAACAATGGAACCAGTCAGCTGGACCCTCTTTAGGGAAATCCTGGGGGTCTGGGTGGGACTTGGATGAGTTTCGATTTGATTTAGTATTGGTAGACTTGAGTTTCCATTGGATTTAGTATTGCTGGAGCTTCCTTTTGAGATTTGGAACTGAGTTTCCATTTGATTTAGTATTGCTGGAGCTTCCTTTTGAGATTTGGAACTGAGTTTCAAATTGATTTAGTATTGGTAGACTTGAGTTTCCATTTGATTTAGTATTGCTGGAGCTTCCTTTTGAGATTGGGAACTGAGTTTCCATTTGATTTAGTATTGCTGGAGCGTCCCAGTACTTTCTTTAGCATTGCCAATTCTACTTTAATATTGCAAGGCTGGCTCTCAGATTCCCAGCACTTACTTCAGCATTGCCAATTCTACTTTAGTATTGCCAAGGACCGTTTTTTCAGCAACCCCCGAAACCAGTTGGACACTAAAGAGGACCCCAACACAGTCAGACTAAAGAGGATCAGGGGCTCTTGTGGCCCCCCTCCCCCTTTGCGTGACTGATTGCCCTCGCTTTTGTGTAAAAAAGTATCTTAAATTTGATGGTTTGGGAACAACTTGCCAACTGGATTTCCTAGATCTCAGGCCTTCAACCTTTGAGCTGGGGAGAGCTTAGGATGAGCCCCCTCCTTTGAAAGTAAAAGGCTGAGGCTTTGGTTTTCAATTTTCAGCAACCCCGAAACCAGCTGGACACTACAGAGGACCCCAAAACAGTTTCATTAAAGAGGATCCCAATGTTTGCCAGGAGTTGGTTGCCTTTTTTCCCCGACTTGTTTGCCAAGTTTTTGTTGCCCATATTTTTCCAGCGTTGTTTCCGGCATTTTCCGGCCAAGAACCTTTCCATAATAGAGGACCCCTAAAACAGTCACAGGATCCTGAATTACAAAAAAAACTTTGCACAATAGAGGACCCTATCATTAAAGGAGGTGTAACATTAGAGGCTAAACGGGAAACAACCCTCTGACCTCCAAGCCACCGATCCAAGCCCCCACTCTCGGCGGAAGCTGAGCAAACCCACCAGTCACTGGAGAGCAACTTCAGCACTGCAAGATGTCTTTTGTCTGGAGCCATGTGCGGCAGCATAACTTCTCATGTCGCAAGCAAGGTTTGTGGCAACCAACAAGATGATGACGGACGTATCACCTGATACCCCATGGGTCTCGCGGCAGGTGCTTCTGGAGAAGTCGCCCTCGAATGTTGCCGGGGTCCCAAGACTCTCGATGTGTGTGCGTGCGTCAAAATAGGGGACCCAAAGGCACTGTGGTGTTCCTCTGGTTTGCCTGTAAACCAGGTGAAAACGGAACCCTCAGAAATCACCCCTCTAGAGAAGATGCACGGACCTCGAATGGTGATGTTTCTTGTTGAGCTTTGGTTTGCTTGTAGGCATCGCAGGCAAAGTGCATGATCCTGTAGCTCTGGTACCCTTGCTGGTCTGGTTTCCCAGTAGTTACGGCGCTTGCTCATGGAAGACTCACTAGCCACTATTGGTCTCCGCATGTCCACCATGTCCACTGGTTCATTGCTTCATCCATTCGGCCGTTGAGGACATAAAGTTTTGAATCACTTGGACTCAAAAGCGTGCTTGGGGCTAGAGTGCAGAGAAGCCTTGGATGTTTGCCTCCAGCTAACTCCACCAAAGGTGCATGTTGTACGTAGCTGTGGTGTCTACCACCAGGGCTCACCTTAAGAATGGTTTTCCCTGCATGTCTAGTTGTTTGAAACTCCTGTATTCTGCAGGTTGACTAGGTGCGCCTTGGACAAATATTGTAGTGGTGAGTCTTTGAATCAGGACACGCCTGATTTTTGCGGTATGAAGAGGGCCGTGGTTGCTTTCGCATCCTGTGGAACCGATTCGTCAGGTCCTTTCGCCCTTTCTGCATCGACTCTGGGGGTTGGACCTTGACTCGCCCAGCGGGGGCCCTGAGAAAAGGAGCGCGTGGAGGGGCCTTGGGCTGAGCTATCGTAGCCCGCTTGCGGGTGCGCGTTTCGTGGCGTTTCAACTGGGACAAATAATGACAACAACTTCCTTTCGATTGAATGGCCGTGCAAGCATTGGCCAAGATAGAGGCAAGCACATTGCTGTGAATGAAGCTTGCCGCTGGGCACCTGTGCAACCTGAACCAGATGAGCAGTTGTCCATCCTCCTTCATAAGTATCCTGCTGCCATTGCCCCCCAAGTAGTCCGTTGTTGACGCATCAGGATGTGTTGGTTTCAGCTGTCATGTGGTCCTTTGCGCGGTTTGTTTTGGGAGCGTCCCCTTCCGGAGGAGATGTGTTTTGGAAATGGTCCCCTCGTGAATCAGGTTTGCATCGCGCATTTGTTGAGAAGCACATTTTCAACAAGACAAGAGCGTCATAAAGCTCTGCAGACAGAGACGCTATCGCCTGTTCTGACATGACCTACTCTTTGGGGTGTCATTCACACCCGGATTGCATACCCTGCGCTCTGGTACTTTGGGACGTCCAAATTAGGGGTTGGTTTTGGTATGCCGTCCCAAAAAGCTCTTTCAACATCCCCCTGCTATAGGTGTTTCTCAAGTTTTTCCGAGCCCATCCAGGTTGTTGTCCTTTCCCTCTACCAAAAAGGAGTCAGTGTTCTTGGTGGCTCCAAGCCATCCCCTTAGCTTTGTAGCCTTTTAGTCCTTTGAGTGTTTAGTGGGGATTTGCATATTTAACTCACCAAAAGTCTAAAAGTTGAACCTATTTTTGTCGGGGGATCTGAGGATAGCCCAAGGACCAGGGAGTCTCTCGGGAGGCTGTGGCCGCTTCATCTTCCAACAGCGCCACCCGCTGGCGGTGGCCATGTCCACGAAGCGCCGCGGCGGGCCCGTGGCCGGGCGGCCCGGGCGGCCCGGGCCGGACGCCTCCGGGCGGCCCGGGCCGGCGGGAGCCTCCGGGCTTGGGCGTGGGACAGCCGGTTTTGATGGGCTCCTTAAAAGATCTCCATTTTGCAACCATTCGAAACCTGGCTTTTTCCAGCAAGATAAGGGGACGCCACCATTTACAAGTTGCAATGTTCAGGTGTATAATGTAAGGATCCCTGTGTTTGATTGGCTTGTGGAAAAAAGAACGCCGAAATCCATTTTGGGGTTCCGCAGTTTTGGGACAAGATCTGCTGGAATTGTCTTATTTCATGCTGTGGATGGACAGAATCCAGCACTTGGGATGGATTCCCTATGAATTCTGGGATGAACCAACTACCAATAGGTGCAGGATGTCGTCCATCCACAGTGTGTATCGCGTCTTAACAAAAGATTCAATGAAGTGAGCAGAGAAAACCATCATTCACAGCAACCAAGAAGAATAGGTGATGGGAGGGAACATTTACCGGTCAGCAGGTCGTTTAGTCGTGTTGAACTCACAGATGTGTTCGTGGAGTTCAGGAAAATGTGTATGTTCATTCAAAGTTCAGTGTGTATGTGGCTCACCGTTTCCTCGGTGCCCTCCCTCTTCAGGGCGGGTAGGGGGAGAGAGCCGATAGCACAATCATTGGCAATTTGCTGCTGTAATACAGCAATTTGCAACAGTTGTTGCGCTCATGAAGGAACCGACATCTAGTGAGGAACGGAGCAAGGGCTAATATTGATGCAGACCCAGCAGTTCATAGCCGTATGCAGACTGGTGTTGGGTCACGTTTCCAGAATTTGTGTTTGGTTTTGCTTGCATTGGAGATTTCAACTTCGCCAAACAAGGGGCACTGACATTCTGAAGGACCAGGGGCAGAGCCTGTGTTGTTTCCGTTTGAGCGGAGACCCAGTGCCACGCAGGAACGTATTGGTCATTCAAGATGAACACTTAACCAGGCATACTGCTTGTGACCCACGGCACGTTGAGGATGTGATCAACCACCTTCAATGCCTTTTGTGAGAAGAAATAATACTTCTCAAATTAGGGGAACTCCAAAAGATCCTTTGGTTTCCTTCAAAGGGATCCATGATTTCGAGAAGCCCCCATGCAGACGCGACATCCGGACGTAAGTTGGCCTAGGGTACAGAGTCCATACTGCCTAATCACAAAGAACAAGGTGCTGCCTTGCATCAGGGACTTGTCAGGTGCATGCCCTCCGGAAGAAAGGCGAAGACCCTAAAAGGCACTTTAGAGGTGAGTGGAGCACCATCGCACAAGTGGATGAGAATGCCCTCGTGCCAAAAGCTCAAGGAAACTCATGCCTGGCATGTTGCTGGTACAAGGCATGGGGCTACGGCTTGTGGAATCAACTGTTCCCTTTTGTCAGCCCGCGCAGACACGTGTTTGATGACTTTCGAACCTTCCTACTTGGGACTTGGCTGACCATACGTCCTTTGGCCCAGCAAAAAGCAAAGGGAAATGTAAAGTCAACCGTCTCCGTCCGCTTCTGGCGTCAAGACATGAAGGGAAATCGCAAGTGTTCCGCTGTTTAGCACGTGAGAACGCTCAACTCGCAGGTGCGCAGTCCTTGGATTCCCATCTATGTTTACTGAGGTCTCCAAAGCAGGATGCGTAGCTCCTACAGTTGGGAAGTTGCCGAGATGCAAAGACCCTTCAAGTACTGCACACTTGGTGCCTGTTTTCAATCTGCAGCCCGACCACCTACTAACGCATTTTTCTGATGCTGTTTCTTTGGAGGTACTAAGACTGGGAAAACGTAGGCCATCCATAGCCGATTTGTCAAGGTAGACGATTTGTCCATTGCCGACCTAGTGGAGAACTGGGTTTGCGCAGAGGCCTGGATGGGTGAAATCGCGGCAACCTTTACATTGTGTGTGTGTTGTCAAAACGAGTAGGGCTCCTTTCGGAGGGCCAGTTTTAAAGCGTACTCAATTTGGTGAGCTTTTGAGATGGTGGCTGCTTTGTGGTCTGACTCGCTGGTCCCTTTTTGGTGATGCAAAAGATACCAAGACATTTTTCCCCAAATCATGAGACAAGAATGTGAGGTGCAAATGTGAAGAGCCATATAGTGTGAAGCTGTTGTAGATCAGAGCAATTGCTGATCATTGTCAAGTGTGAGCCACAACTCATGTTGCGTCGTGGGTCTTTGAATCTGACAAGTCTTATCACGGTGAGGGAACAGGTAGCGTGGATGTCGCAGGCAGTAAACCAAGCACAAACCATGGAACATAATGCGGCTTTCCGTGCTTCATACTTGTGATATTCCGGCCATCCACCATATGATAATTGCAATAGCAACAGTTCACGGAAAACTTTTAAAACCGATAAAAAAGGGACAGCGATGATTTCCAAATCACAGTCACAGAGCAGTTCCACGGCGAATAGTAGTGGAACCTTCCCGATGCATGACCACATTGTTGGCAGCGTGGCATTGCTGCCGTGCAGAACATGGACCCCGCAGATGACCAGGCATGTTTACGTGAAAAGACATTGAGTTGGACGTGTGCACCGCCTTCATATTGATTTGAAGATAGAAACCACGCGACATGGAGAGGTGTTGTTTCCACGTGCCGTTGCTGCTTTTGGAGGAAGTCGTCCGATTCCAGGGTTTGTCTCCATTTTAGTCAGTCTTGAGGTAGGAAGGCCGGGGTGCCAATGACTTCCGGCGGAGACATGTGTTTCAACTTGAGAAATCCCAAGAAACACCGGGGCTGAGCCTTCAATCATCTACCCAGGAGCGGAGAGCCAAGGCCCGGCGCTTGACTCACTCGGATTGGGGAGTGAGTCCCATGGTGCTAAATACCCCATTGTGGGCGGTCCCAGTAAGCCAAAAGAAGATTGGTATTCTTGTATTTTGTCCAGACCTATTTGGCCCCCCATTGATTTGGATCTTTTCACGTGAATCTCTGATTTTCTGGTGGTGCATTCAAGCATGCACAGATTTTTGGGGAACTGTTCTTGTCAAGGGCGGAGCCTGCTGCCTATGCATTAGGCCTGCGCGAATCCGCCAGATTGGATCCATCCCAAGCGCCAGATTTGGATCTGATTTCTTGAGGGAAAGTCAGTGCAGTTCCTGCCAAACCTGGGAAGAAACAGAACATGATTTTCGGGATGTGTGCTGTGCTGTACTTGTTTCCATGGGTAAGCTGATCTCTCAAAAGCCAGTGTTGGTGAGCAAGCCTGAAAAGGGGCGCGCCTCACATAATGTTACTGTGGGAACAACTAGCTAATATGAAAAAAAAAATCCTGGTGCGAAGCGCATCGACTTTTGGACCAGATTGGTCTGGTGGCAATGATCCCAATAGACACGGGCAAGTGAGCCAAGCGCCTGGGATGTTGTTTGGGTCAAAGGGGGAAAGCGTCATGGACCATTGGCCTCGACATCGTTGGCACTTTGGATATTCTTGCAGGTGCACCAGTATCATCCGGAAGTGATTTGTCAATCAACGGTCTTGTTGGCTCCCGCAGAAAACTCGAACGCAGCGGCACAGGACGCTAAAGCGTACTTTGAGTACTACGGCTTCAGCCAGGCCATCTACCTGCTGCAATTCGAGGCCAGCGATGTCACAGTCGAGAGGACATGTGACCCATGGTTAAAAGACCATTCCTTTCTTGGCAGTCAGTAATTTGGGGGTTTGCATACTTTTGACGCATTCCAGAATTAACTGGAGCCTTGTCACACTTGCTTTAGCAGGTGTTCTTGCAGTGAAGATCCGCAAAGCTTTGCGGGTGACAGCATGCTTCCTCTAGGCCAGACTTACTTTTTTGTGGTACCCCATGACTATCTGACTATGAGATCTGCTTTGATTCAAAGGTAATGTTTGTGAAGCGTTCAAAAGGCAGGCTTCCCATTACGACTGCCACAGCATCCAACATGTTCCACTGTTTTCCGAATCGCAGTGCACTTGGACCGCTTGGCCCCTTAGGTGGCACTGAGCATTCGACTGCAACTTGCTTCCGATGGAAAACACCGAACACTGGTGAGTCACTTGCTTGGTGGTATGCTTGGCCTAGTGTTAGCTTGGGGAGGGCACCAAAGCCGTCAGCTTGTCTAAGTCAGACATTGCGGGCTCCGAGTTTTGCGGAATCGCAGGATTTGCTGCGTGAGCCGCAGAAGGCCCGGGCCGTGGACCACCTTTGAGCAGGAGAAGGACGACGCGGATGAAATAGACCTCTTGACAAAAGCGCCCAAAGAGAGAGTTTGATTCCCATCAAAAGGTGATATCACTCATCTACCGAGGTCCTTTTGTTTCTGTTCTTTGTTTTGTTTGGTCATTGTGCCTTTTTGGTGGGCGGGTGTCTCCAGCCGTTTGGTCTGTGTGCTTTTTGTTGGGGGTGGGGGGGATGGGTGGTTGCCCCTTCTGACGGTTCTGTTCGGATGTTTGGCTGCCTTGCAGGCGGTTTTGCACGTTGACGTGGCTTTTGGCAGCTTTGGACTCTAAACAAAACCCTAAACAAAGCCTAAACCAACCCTAAGCAAACCTTGGCCGACCCTAAACCAACCCTACATAAACCCACTCCAAATCCCCCATCCAAAACCAGCCCTAAACCCATCCTAAACCAACCCTAAACCCATTATAAACCCACCCTCAGCCTAGACCTGTAAGCGAAGCCCGAGCCAGCAGCGTGATGTCAAACACATTCAATGGTGTCGGTGATGCTGGTTCAAAATGCTGGAAAAATACAACAGCATGTTGGCACCCCGGACAAATTTAAGAAGCTCAGTGTTGTAGTGCTGGGTTGCACGCAGCAGCTGCTTTGTTTGGATATGAATATCTGTCAAAAGATGGGCCTTGACCAAGTATAGTTGAAGCGGAAGCTGGGACACAGTTTTAATATCACTACTGTGACATGGGTTGTGTCTCAAAATCGCGGACCCCAGAATATGAGTGGTTTCCTTGTGCTTTCTTTGGAGAAGAAGGAACAAGGGAGGTGCCCGCAAAAATGGCACCGATTCATATAGTTTGTGTTTGAAACCTATGTAACGCACACACAACAAACAACACCTCACATGTGTTCTCAGCAGGAAAAAACACACCGGTGTTCTCAAAGGTTCTTCTTACCGAAGAGAAAACAACATTGAACACCTCGAGTTGTTTGTGGTGTGGTTGTTTGTGGTGTGCTTTTGCATGTCTTTCTTGTATTTGCATGTACTTCGGTTGGGCTGATTCGGGCCAACCGTCAAACACAATGTGTGGAAGCAACAAACGGTTAAGCACGCATGTGTTGTTGCATTGTTTCAAGGAGGAAAAGTGGAGGTAGATCATGGGAGGGGGTGAGACCATACATAATATACATATATATATATACACTGTATATAACTGTATATATATATATATATGTGCAGACGGAAATCAATATATTACTGTATATAAACTATTCACACCAACTAGTATGGACCCCGATGATCCTTCCAGAAGCCAGCCAGTTTTCACGCAAGGAGAAGAAGTGAAGCCACAGATTTCTTCCAGGGCCTGAAGTCACAAGGCGTCATGCTGGGGATAAGGACTGGCTATCACCAGAGAAGCTCGAAGACTTGACTCAAAGCAAACAGTGTACAGCGAAGAGCTTGGCTCACAGTCTGTTGAAAATTTCGTATGATTTCGTCATGTTCGGCCACCACAAGTGAGTCATGCCCCCCTTGGATGTCCAAGACAAACACGGCAGTGCTAATCCCACCTGCTTTGAATCGGCCGTCTGAACACTTCCCACCCGCCTGGCAGGTGCTGTCGGAAACTTTCGCGTGGCTTGGCCTGGAGGTCACTGAGGCCATGCTGACAGAGGCGAAGGCGCCTGCGCTCGAAACACGGGCTTCTTCGGTTGACTTCGTGCTTTTGGGGCGTGTTTTGCCGCCCATTGCTGAGTGCAAAGGCATGTCTCAAAAGCTGGGTGGGGAGCCTGCAAAGTTATTTGGGGTCTTTGCAGTTTGCCTTTCCTCTCGGTAAGATGCAATTCCTTATGACGAGGGAGTACTGTTTTGGCACGCACGCATACACTCATATCAAGCATCTTCAGTTTAGGGATCTGACTGGAGCTGGTCAACCGCCCCAAATTGCCTTTGGAGGATCTCTTGTCTCAAAATAGTAGCAGCCCTGTTATGGTTTCTTTTGACAGGACACACAAAGGCAAACACTTGGAAGAGTTGCAGAGAATCCCACCTCTTCTAGGTTACATGTCCCTTCAGCCCCTATCTGTTCCAAGGGGCATACCTCAAGCTCGATATGGGTGTGGATCAACCCTAGAACGGTTGGTTTCCCTTGGATTTCTCCTGTAATTACATGCTAGCCAAAAGGGGGTCCACCACAGGGAGAAACTCCCACATGTTTGTCACAAGTGAGCAAGAACGAAAAGGTGGGTGTGTCAAAGCCAGCTTAGGCTCCCAGGCGTGCGTCAAAGCTCCGCGGCCCTTTTGGTGGCTTTTTGTTGCCGCGGACGCCCGAAAAGAAGGCGCCGTTGGCATTGTATCTGGCAGGGTTCGTTTGTTTCTGGCGGGATCTGCAGGAAGTGCTGGCAAAGAACGCGCTTGATGTCCTCGATTGCATCAGTACCACGCCAGGCCAAAGTGAGGGGCGACGTGAATGCCAAGCACTTCCAGCAGTATTGCGTGCGGGCCCCAGAGATCGGCATTGATCAGTTCCTGATCACAATGTGGTTGGGACAGTATGTTGTGCCAAGGTTAAGCTGGATGCACCAAATCAGATTAATCATGGAACATAAATCTAGAACGTGTAGGAAAGTGCAACTTGCACTAAGAACACACTTGTGAAGAGCGTTCAGTGTATTGCTGTATTGCTCTGAAAAACAAAGTACTGCACAGAAGCACAACAAGTCTAAGACACTTTTGCAGAATTTACTGCATTGGCATATTGGACACACACACACACACACGCACACACACTTTGTGACACCATACATGTGATTACATGTGTCAGTTTGCATCTGTGTGTGTGATTGTGTGCGTGCGCTGGTGTGTGTGTGTTTTCTGTGCGTTTGTTGGTGTGCCTACCTGCCCACCCCGCCCGCCTGTCTGTCTGTCTGTCTCTCTGTCTCTGCGTCTCTCTCTCTCTCTCTCTCTCTATGTCTGTCTGTCCGTCCGTCCGTCCGTCCGTCCGTCCGTCCGTCTGTCTGTCTGTCTGTCCTTCCACCCGTCCGTCCGTCCGTCCGTCTGTCTGTCTGTTTGTCTGTCTGTCTGTGTTTCTGCCTGTACATGTGTGGGTGTGTATGGTTGTTTGCTTGCTTGCCTGCCTACCTGCTTGCTTGCTTGCTTGCTTGCTTGCTTGCCTTCTTGCCTGCTTGCCTGCTTGGCCGCTTGCCTTCTTGCCTTCTTGCCTGCTTGCCTGCTTGCCTGCTTGCCTGCCTGCCTGCTTGCCTGCCTGCCTGCTTGCTTGCTTGCTTGCTTGCCTGCTTGCCTTCTTGCTTGCCTGCTCATTTGTGTGTGTGTGTGTGGCACTGTTTTGATATGTTTCCTTCGCCGGGCACCCTCACCAAGCAAGGCTTGCATGTGCGCGCCAAAGCCATGCAAGATGCGGACAGGTTTCCTAGAGCACAAGTAGGAAGCGAATTCTACTCTTCTGTCAAGTCAAATCTCTAGGCTTGCTCTCGTGGCTGTTGCCAGACTTAGCCGCTGTCGTTTGCAGTTTTGCCTTTGGTTTTCATAATTTTCCTGCGCGTTTCCCGCCAGACTCATTTGGTGCACGGGGGCCACAGAGCTGTGGATGAGCATCACAGGCGCTGTGGGCTGAAACAAAAACTTCCCAGAGCTTCGATGGGGCAATTCCGGAGATTGCCCTTCAAAGTTAAGTACCAGGGCGTTCGTTCTTTTTCGTGGTCACTGCAGGTCTGCGTGTTGATAGATGTTGTCATACTTTCAGTTTGATTGTTGAACAGTCGGTCAGCTTAGGTCAATGCAATGCCTCCCGATGAGTGTGTCAAATATGACATGTTGCAGGCGAGGGTACCATCAAACAACCACACACACACACACAATCGTATGTTTATCGTTTGTAGAGCGAATGCATAACAAGTACTTTGAGCCGTGTGCATGACCTTGCATATATTCTGACGAGATGAATCATGAGTCTCCGCCAAATCTGTGTCACTGCTTGTTAGATCTGGCAGTGTAGCTGCCAGCTTCATGTAAAGCGTGCAAGCGGTCAGCTGTTTTTTGGCAGAAAGGTGTGAGGGGGTATTGGCTTACACACGGGCCAACTGGCAATGTTGGCATGTGTTTGGTGCGAGTAGAAACTGTCGGTCGGAGGTGTCAATGTCGGAGGTGTCAATGTCGGAGGTGTCAATGTCGGAGGTGTCAATGTCGGAGGAATGGTTTTGGGCGCCGTTGACAGGCTGGTGCAGCACTTCCGAGATAGGGCACGCGCCACAGATTGCAGTGCACCAAGGCTTGTGCGGCTTACGTTTTGATATATATATATATATATGGAAAGGGCAAATAGTGTTGGGTCGTGAAAACACGAGATGCATCACTTTGTTTAGCACAGATCACACAGAGTACAGATTGGAGGTTATTCGTTCATTCAGGCCGCTGAGGTGGCAATGCTCGAAATTGGCCACTTCGGGCTCACGCAGTGCTGTGGTTTGACGTTTGGGAGCCTGCATGGCTGACTTATAACTGCCAAGTTGTACGAGGTATGATAAGGCCATGCTATGTTCCAGTGAAACAGTTGCATCAGGTACCCGAAACCCGATAGGGCCCCGTCCAAAAAACACAACCTTGAAGATGTATGGGTTTGTGTTGTTGTGGAGGTACCCCCCATTTGGAGACGCACCCAAGTTGCAGGGGGCTGTCACGCAATGCAATTAGCAAGCCTAGTCTCTTCAACACTGGAGTATGCATGTGGCAATTTGGTCGCTCGTAGGAGCCAAACAATCTCTCTACAAGAAACAACCCCCCAAGCGCCACCCGAACAACATGACTATAGTGTGGCCCCGCATATGTTCAAATCAACACGGGATTGGGTTGAATTTCGGCGACAGGCGCTTAGCATGGGCTGAAGACACATTGGCAGACAGGCTTGAAGAAGGCAAACTGAAAGCTCTGCCCTTGGAATGCCGTGGATAGTTTGCTTGGCTGCAGCCACAGCCATTAAGCTTCATTTTGCCTGCGACACGCGCATGTTCCAGTTT